CAGGCTATCATCATAGAAGCACCATGACATATGTCACAGGTCAGGCTATCATCAAAGAAACAACATGACACGTGTAACAGGTCAGGTTACCCAATGGTCTGTATCACAGACTTTCAGGCAGGGGATTTGTGTCTCTTGACTGTAGATGCAGGATTGAGACATTTACAGAGAACATTTCACACAACTTTTATTCCAGAAGATTCCTATTTCTCAAGTATAATGCTAGTAAAAAAAAGCACATTCAAGATTGAATATCAACATTGTTCCCTAGTATTGGGCTAAAGTACATAATATACCTTAATTAAAACCTTCGACAAACTGGATGTTGATTGACCAATACATGGGAGATGGGCCATAACTTGTAACAAATACAAATTTATGATTAAATTGCATGCCAAGGTGTACATATCTTAGACAAGAGTATCCCAATTAATTAATCTTCATCCCACCTGACTGACTAGTATCACCTGATCATCTACCTGTCCATTATTAATGAGATTTCAGGAGCAGGTGACTTCTGGTCATATCTCCTTCAGCCAAGTCAGGTCAGAATGAACCAAACATGAATAGTTACATGGTTACCATAAATATTCTACAACTATTACCTGGTCAAAGTCAATAATACAAAATTGAACCTTCATCTGCTGAAGTCATGATACAATATTAAGATAAGGGCTAGTAGGCATATGACAATATTACCTTATATTATCCTGCTGTAGTCAGCAATAATATATCCCCTGTCCAAGCCATACCATTGCTATATCTCTCATACCTGTGACCTCGTAGAAATGAGGGTAACCTGCATGGAAGATAGCTCCATTACCGTATATACGATCACATAGTCACCTGACCAAGTCATAGAGACTGAGAGTAAATATGGAATATTGCTCCATATACTGTATACCCGACCTGTTCTAGTACATGTATATTCAACTTGTTTTAGTGCATGTATACCCAACTTGTTTTAGTGCATGTATACCCAACTTGTTCTAGTACATGTACACCTAACTTGATCTAGTACATGTATACCAAACTTGTTCTAGTACATGTATACCCAACTTGTTCTAGTACATGTACACCCAACTTGTTTTAGTGCATGTATACCCAACTTGTTCTAGCACATGTATACCCAACTCGTTTTAGTGCATGTATACCCAACTTGTTCTAGTACATGTACACCCAACTCGTTCTAGTACACGTATACCCAACTTGTTCTAGTACATGTATACCCAACTTGTTCTAGTACATGTACACCCAACTTGTTTTAGTACATGTATACCCAACTTGTTTTAGTGCATGTATATCCAACTTGTTCTAGTACATGTACACCCAACTTGTTCTAGTACATGTATACCCAACTTGTTCTAGTACATGTATACCCAACTTGTTCTAGTACATGTACACCCAACTTGTTTTAGTACATGTATACCCAACTTGTTTTAGTGCATGTATATCCAACTTGTTCTAGTACATGTACACCCAACTTGTTCTAGTACATGTATACCCAACTTGTTTTAGTACATGTTTACCCAACTTGTTCTAGTACATGTACACCCAACTTGTTTTAGTACATGTATACCCAACTTGTTTTAGTGCATGTATACCCAACTTGTTCTAGTACATGCATACCCAACTTGTTCTAGTACATGTATCCAAACTTGTTTGTTCTAGTACATGTATCCAAACTTGTTTTAGTGCATATATACCCAACTTATTCTAGTGCATATATACCCAACTTGTTTTAGTGCATATATACCCAACTTGTTTTAGTGCATATATATCCAACTTGTTCTAGTACATGTATACCCAACTTGTTCCAGTGCATGCATACCCAACTTGTTCTAGTGCATGTATACCCAACTTGTTTTAGTGCATATATACCCAACTTGTTTTAGTGCATATATATCCAACTTGTTCTAGTACATGTATACCCAACTTGTTCTAGTACATGTACACCCAACTTGTTCCAGTGCATGCATACCCAACTTGTTCTAGTGCATGTATACCCAACTTGTTTTAGTGCATATATACCAAACTTGTTTTAGTGCATATATATCCAACTTGTTCTAGTACATGTATACCCAACTTGTTCTAGTACATGTACACCCAACTTGTTTTAGTACATATTTACCCAACTTGTTTTAGTGCATATATATCCAACTTGTTCTAGTACATGTATACCCAACTTGTTCCAGTGCATGCATACCCAACTTGTTCTAGTGCATGTATACCCAACTTGTTTTAGTGCATATATACCAAACTTGTTTTAGTGCATATATATCCAACTTGTTCTAGTACATGTATACCCAACTTGTTTTAGTACATATTTACCCAACTTGTTTTAGTGCATATATATCCAACTTGTTCTAGTACATGTATACCCAACTTGTTCCAATGCATGCATACCCAACTTGTTCTAGTACATGTATACCCAACTTGTTCCAATGCATGCATACCCAACTTGTTCTAGTACATGTATACCCAACTTGTTCCAATGCATGCATACCCAACAAAGTTTAACAGATGTGAACAGTCTGGGGAACAATTTGTATTTGAACTAGACAACATTGTTTTGTAAGTAGATCTAGACAATGTACAGATAAAATGACTTGATGTAGTTATAGAATATGAAAGCTCTATATACGGCAGCCTCTTATCATAGCTTAGGGCTACAACATTAAGTAAAACAGAAAGGTATCATGTGTATAACATATTTTTTCTTGTGAAAAAGAATATTGGACATCACTGATGAACACAGGTGTTAATAGCTGTGATCAGTTGTTACTGGTTCAGATGTACCTGGTGAATAGCACAGGTGAAGTAAGTTTACCTGAGGTGATACAACAATACTGGCCACTTAATGTCAAACTACAAGTAAACAATTATCTACTGAATAAATACAAAATAGTATTACATAAACACATACTTGGTAATGTAATATATCTATCATATATATTATCTGCCATCCACAGTTCTACCACTATCAGCAAATGGTGACTATACTAATGCACAGTATGGTAATTTACATCACAGATTTAATCTAAATCAATAAATCAGCATAACTTCAAATATATACAGATTATTGTTATCTATATCAACAAATTATGATAATCTACATCAAAAGATTATGATAATCTACACCAACAGATTATGGTAATCCACATCAAAAGATTATGGTAATCTACATCCACAGATTATGATAATCTACATCAACAGATTATGGTAATCTACATCAACAGATTATGGTAATCCACATCAAAAGATTATGCTAATCCACATCAACAGATTATGATAATCTACATCCACAGATTATGGTAATCTACATCCACAGATTATGGTAATCTACATCCACAGATTATGGTAATCTACATCAACAGATTATGATAATCTACATCAACAGATTATAATAATCTACATCAACTGGTTATGGTATTCTACATCAACATATTATGATAATCTACATCAACTGGTTATGATAATCTACATCAACAGATTATGATAATCTATTTCAACTGATCAGTGCGACCTATGTAAACAATGTTGAGTAATCTATATCTAAACAACAAGAATAATCAGGCATTAATTGGTCAGGGCAATGTATTTAAACACAGTAATTTATATCTCCTGGTGAGAATATTAGACTACTAGGTTATTGTAAAGGATTAACTTATTATATAAGAGTTCCTCGGAAATGTATGTGTCGCCTGCAGAAATCAAACTGGATGTCAAAACTAATCTGTACCCTTCCTACAAGAAGTCATATACCAAATTTCATTTCTATAACTCAAAGCATAACCCAAAAAAGTCCAGAAAACAATATTCCCAGTGAATTTTCTAAGTTCGAAGGGGCATAACTCTGCCAAGAAGGATTACAGACAGTCAGGAATCGGACTTAATTTGTACCTTTCCAACAAGAAGCCATATACCAAATTTCATTTCAATAACTCACGTGTTAGCTGACGCATTACGACGGACAAAGTGATCCCTAAGTGTCCGCCAGCTCTGCAGGCGACGCAATAAATCAAGATGATCTATCATGAATAAAGTTAAATTTCAAATATATCAATTAATAAAGGTAACCTAGACCAGGCTTATCTACATCAATGGATTAGGGTAATCCAGATTAAAGTTATCTAGGGTAATCCTGATAAAGTAATCTACATCAATAGATTAGGGTAATCCTGATAAAGTTATCTATATCAATAGATTAGGGTAATCTAGATTAAAGTAATCTACATCAATAGATTAGGGTAATCCTGATAAAGTTATCTACATCAATGGATTAGGGTAATCCTGATAAAGTTATCTACATCAATAGATTAGGGTAATCCTGATAAAGTTATCTACATCAATAGCTTAGGGTAATCCTGATAAAGTTATCTACATCAATAGCTTAGGGTAATCCTGATAAAGTTATCTACATCAATAGATTAGGGTAATCTAGATTAAAATAATCTACATCAATAGATTAGGGTAATCCTGATAAAGTTATCTACATCAATAGATTAGGGTAATCTAGATTAAAGTAATCTACATCAATGGATTAGGGTAATCCTGATAAAGTTATCTACATCAATGGATTAGGGTAATCTAGATTATAGTAATCTACATCTATAGATTAGGGTAATCCTGATAAAGTTATCTACATCAATAGATTAGGGTAATCCTGATAAAGTTATCTACATCAATAGATTAAGGTAATCCTGATAAAGTTATCTACATCAATAGCTTAGGGTAATCCTGATAAAGTTATCTACATCAATAGATTACAGTAAGCAGTTTCAGAGCTATTTGCTGTTTATAAATTACAGGCATCAAATAGTTCTTTTGATCCATAGCTGTTTTTAAGTAAAGCCTTGTAACCTATTGTGTCAGAATCTTGTAGTTATGACTTTAAGTGATAAACATCAGATCTAGTTCAGCTGCCTTTCTCAACGAAAACCAAATGTGCTAGTAACCGGGAGTACAAGTAAAATACACAGGCTACAGACTCAAAAGTATCATACAGGGCAGCCAGTCTTGTAGATGTTACGGTCTATGGGTATGGAAAACCAGTCTACATGTGGTGTATCTCCTTCAACCCGGCCCAACTTAAAGTCTCGCAAACACCCTTGGAAGTTTTCATCTGAGGAAGCAGCCCCTTGCACTGTAGCAAATACTGAAACAACAGATAGTGAAGAGACTACTATTAATAAAGATTGTCTAAACAAATAAAACAGACCAACGTTATACTGGTTTATGAATTTCCTTATTCAATGAAATGCCAAAGAGCATATCTGTCTCCATTTTTACCTATATATTTTAATTTGTCATCACATTCTTACCAGGTATGCCCCCTACTATCAGAGGTGAGAACGTTGTGATGAATGTAGCGTCTCTGGAACTGACACCAAACTCAGCCTTTCCATCTACGATAAGTTTGATGACATTGCCAATGACACTGGCTTCAACAGTGTGCCATTCATTGTTACAAAAGGAGAACTGACTTCCTTTGGTTGTGGCAGAGTATCTGTCTTCATTGCTTACTGTCATTTTAACCTGAATATAAGAATTCTATTTTAGTTTGGCATTTTGAAAACAAATTCCTTCAACTGAATTTTTATTTGCATTAGAGATTTTCAACCTTAAGAATGTTAAATGGTTCTATAATCTTCTATTCCTCATTCATACAGAGGTTTTTCAAAAATATAATTTCCATTTCATAAGTGTTCTTCAGTGTAAGAGGCGTGTCAAATTCTAAATTATGCTTTACTCAATGGTTAATATTTTCTTAGATTTACCAAAATATTGAAACTTAATGGATGTTTTTTTCAATGGAGTCATGCAACAGAAGACAGTTTTTCTCTATTACATTTCCAAGGTACATGTAGCAAAAAGTGAAAAATTAACTTCTAAACTGCACATGTATGGAGCAACACACCATGATCACTTTATCTGTGTTACTTTAGGATCTGTTCATCATTTCAGATGGACTATGTGTATCAGATACATAAGAATGTAACAGACTGTTGATGACATACCTGTCCCTCGAACAGTTCCAGTGTTAAAGCTGGGGATCCGGATGGGTCACTAATAGTCAATATCACTCCATTTGGCTTGTGTGTCCTGAATGCAAAACTCACCACCATCTTAGATCCAATATCATATTCACGATCTGAAAAGAGAAAATTTACAACCAAGTAGCAATAAAAATGTATCATAACTGATCAGAACAGCTAAACAACAGCTACAGAAACATCATTTTTCAAGTTTATCTTCTAGGAAGGAATTCTTTACTACTTAAAAGTTCATCTGCTAGGAGAAATTCTTAAAACTTACAAGTTCATCTAGGAGGAATTCTATACCACGTAAAAGTTTATTTCTAGGAAGGAATTCTTTACTACTTACAAGTTTATCTTCTAGGAAGGAATTCTTTACTACTTACAAGTTTATCTTCTAGGAAGGAATTCTTTACTACTTACAAGTTTATCTTCTAGGAAGGAATTCTTTACTACTTACAAGTTTATCTTCTAGGAAGGAATTCTTAGTACTTACAAGTTTATCTTCTAGGAAGGAATTCTTTACTACTTACAAGTTTATCTTCTAGGAAGGAATTCTTGACTGCTTACAAGTTTATCTTCTAGGAAGGAATTCTTAGTACTTACAAGTTTATCTTCTAGGAAGGAATTCTTAGTACTTACAAGTTTATCTTCTAGGAAGGAATTCTTAGTACTTACAAGTTTATCTTCTAGGAAGGAATTCTTTACTACTTACAAGTTTATCTTCTAGGAAGGAATTCTTGACTGCTTACAAGTTTATCTTCTAGGAAGGAATTCTTAGTACTTACAAGTTTATCTTCTAGGAAGGAATTCTTAGTACTTACAAGTTTATCTTCTAGGAAGGAATTCTTAGTACTTACAAGTTTATCTTCTAGGAAGGAATTCTTAGTACTTACAAGTTTATCTTCTAGGAAGGAATTCTTAGTACTTACAAGTTTATCTTCTAGGAAGGAATTCTATACTACTTACAAGTTTATCTTCTAGGAAGGAATTCTTGACTGCTTACAAGTTTATCTTCTAGGAAGGAATTCTTGACTGCTTACAAGTTTATCTTCTAGGAAGGAATTCTATACTACTTACAAGTTTATCTTCTAGGAAGGAATTCTTGACTGCTTACAAGTTTATCTTCTAGGAAGGAATTCTTAGTACTTACAAGTTTATCTTCTAGGAAGGAATTCTTAGTACTTACAAGTTTATCTTCTAGGAAGGAATTCTTAGTACTTACAAGTTTATCTTCTAGGAAGGAATTCTATACTACTTACAAGTTTATCTTCTAGGAAGGAATTCTTTACTACTTACAAGTTTATCTTCTAGGAAGGAATTCTTTACTACTTACAAGTTTATCTTCTAGGAAGGAATTCTTTACTACTTACAAGTTTATCTTCTAGGAAGGAATTCTTTACTACTTACAAGTTTATCTTCTAGGAAGGAATTCTTAGTACTTACAAGTTTATCTTCTAGGAAGGAATTCTTAGTACTTACAAGTTTATCTTCTAGGAAGGAATTCTATACTACTAACAAGTTTATCTTCTAGGAAGGAATTCTTGACTGCTTACAAGTTTATCTTCTAGGAAGGAATTCTTAGTACTTACAAGTTTATCTTCTAGGAAGGAATTCTTAGTACTTACAAGTTTATCTTCTAGGAAGGAATTCTTTACTACTTACAAGTTTATCTTCTAGGAAGGAATTCTTGACTGCTTACAAGTTTATCTTCTAGGAAGGAATTCTTAGTACTTACAAGTTTATCTTCTAGGAAGGAATTCTTAGTACTTACAAGTTTATCTTCTAGGAAGGAATTCTTTACTACTTACAAGTTTATCTTCTAGGAAGGAATTCTTGACTGCTTACAAGTTTATCTTCTAGGAAGGAATTCTTAGTACTTACAAGTTTATCTTCTAGGAAGGAATTCTTAGTACTTACAAGTTTATCTTCTAGGAAGGAATTCTATACTGCTTACAAGTTTATCTTCTAGGAAGGAATTCTTTACTACTTACAAGTTTATCTTCTAGGAAGGAATTCTATACTACTTACAAGTTTATCTTCTAGGAAGGAATTCTTTACTACTTACAAGTTTATCTTCTAGGAAGGAATTCTTTACTACTTACAAGTTTATCTTCTAGGAAGGAATTCTTTACTACTTACAAGTTTATCTTCTAGGAAGGAATTCTTTACTACTTACAAGTTTATCTTCTAGGAAGGAATTCTTAGTACTTACAAGTTTATCTTCTAGGAAGGAATTCTTAGTACTTACAAGTTTATCTTCTAGGAAGGAATTCTATACTACTAACAAGTTTATCTTCTAGGAAGGAATTCTTGACTGCTTACAAGTTTATCTTCTAGGAAGGAATTCTTAGTACTTACAAGTTTATCTTCTAGGAAGGAATTCTTAGTACTTACAAGTTTATCTTCTAGGAAGGAATTCTTTACTACTTACAAGTTTATCTTCTAGGAAGGAATTCTTGACTGCTTACAAGTTTATCTTCTAGGAAGGAATTCTTAGTACTTACAAGTTTATCTTCTAGGAAGGAATTCTTAGTACTTACAAGTTTATCTTCTAGGAAGGAATTCTTTACTACTTACAAGTTTATCTTCTAGGAAGGAATTCTTGACTGCTTACAAGTTTATCTTCTAGGAAGGAATTCTTAGTACTTACAAGTTTATCTTCTAGGAAGGAATTCTTAGTACTTACAAGTTTATCTTCTAGGAAGGAATTCTATACTGCTTACAAGTTTATCTTCTAGGAAGGAATTCTTTACTACTTACAAGTTTATCTTCTAGGAAGGAATTCTTTACTACTTACAAGTTTATCTTCTAGGAAGGAATTCTTTACTACTTACAAGTTTATCTTCTAGGAAGGAATTCTTTACTACTTACAAGTTTATCTTCTAGGAAGGAATTCTTAGTACTTACAAGTTTATCTTCTAGGAAGGAATTCTTTACTACTTACAAGTTTATCTTCTAGGAAGGAATTCTTTACTACTTACAAGTTTATCTTCTAGGAAGGAATTCTTTACTACTTACAAGTTTATCTTCTAGGAAGGAATTCTTTACTACTTACAAGTTTATCTTCTAGGAAGGAATTCTTTACTACTTACAAGTTTATCTTCTAGGAAGGAATTCTTGACTGCTTACAAGTTTATCTTCTAGGAAGGAATTCTTAGTACTTACAAGTTTATCTTCTAGGAAGGAATTCTTAGTACTTACAAGTTTATCTTCTAGGAAGGAATTCTATACTACTTACAAGTTTATCTTCTAGGAAGGAATTCTTTACTACTTACAAGTTTATCTTCTAGGAAGGAATTCTTGACTGCTTACAAGTTTATCTTCTAGGAAGGAATTCTTAGTACTTACAAGTTTATCTTCTAGGAAGGAATTCTTAGTACTTACAAGTTTATCTTCTAGGAAGGAATTCTATACTACTTACAAGTTTATCTTCTAGGAAGGAATTCTTTACTACTTACAAGTTTATCTTCTAGGAAGGAATTCTTTACTACTTACAAGTTTATCTTCTAGGAAGGAATTCTTTACTACTTACAAGTTTATCTTCTAGGAAGGAATTCTTTACTACTTACAAGTTTATCTTCTAGGAAGGAATTCTTAGTACTTACAAGTTTATCTTCTAGGAAGGAATTCTTAGTACTTACAAGTTTATCTTCTAGGAAGGAATTCTTGACTGCTTACAAGTTTATCTTCTAGGAAGGAATTCTTAGTACTTACAAGTTTATCTTCTAGGAAGGAATTCTTAGTACTTACAAGTTTATCTTCTAGGAAGGAATTCTTTACTACTTACAAGTTTATCTTCTAGGAAGGAATTCTTGACTGCTTACAAGTTTATCTTCTAGGAAGGAATTCTTAGTACTTACAAGTTTATCTTCTAGGAAGGAATTCTTTACTACTTACAAGTTTATCTTCTAGGAAGGAATTCTTTACTACTTACAAGTTTATCTTCTAGGAAGGAATTCTTGACTGCTTACAAGTTTATCTTCTAGGAAGGAATTCTTAGTACTTACAAATTTATCTTCTAGGAAGGAATTCTTAGTACTTACAAGTTTATCTTCTAGGAAGGAATTCTATACTACTTACAAGTTTATCTTCTAGGAAGGAATTCTTTACTACTTACAAGGTTATCTTCTAGGAAGGAATTCTTGACTGCTTACAAGTTTATCTTCTAGGAAGGAATTCTTTACTACTTACAAGTTTATCTTCTAGGAAGGAATTCTTTACTACTTACAAGTTTATCTTCTAGGAAGGAATTCTTTACTACTTACAAGTTTATCTTCTAGGAAGGAATTCTTTACTACTTACAAGTTTATCTTCTAGGAAGGAATTCTTAGTACTTACAAGTTTATCTTCTAGGAAGGAATTCTTTACTACTTACAAGTTTATCTTCTAGGAAGGAATTCTTTACTACTTACAAGTTTATCTTCTAGGAAGGAATTCTTTACTACTTACAAGTTTATCTTCTAGGAAGGAATTCTTTACTACTTACAAGTTTATCTTCTAGGAAGGAATTCTTTACTACTTACAAGTTTATCTTCTAGGAAGGAATTTTTTACATGTCACTTACTAAAAGATATAGAAAAATATTTCCAAATATAATATATAATTAATTACATAAGGATAAAATGATTCTCACCTAGAACTCCATGGGCTCCTCCACTGAAGTACACTCCAGGCTCTGTAGTTTTGTAGCAGTTTCTGATGCCACTGACAATGTCAGCATCAGCGATCAAGATCACATTACCGTTGATCATGAAGTTCCTTATACACCCTCTCAAGCTGTGATCAACCTGTCCAATAATCAATGATAAACAACAATAGTTTGGAACCCTCATCAAAAAATATCTCAACATACTGGAGTGAGCCCTGTAAAACCCATGCAACTTAATGTATATCAACAAAGCAGTTATGACTTGAAAAAAATACTTGTGTCAAATTACAACATCAATGCCATATACCTGAACTGAGTATAACAGTATGATACCTCTGTCTGAACATACGTTAACTTGTCACATCAACCAAAGCCTTCAGAGAAGTGTTTTCTGGCCCTCCAATTATCCAAGCAATCTATATGCTTATTTTTATGGGTACCAGTCCATCACACAAAAACTTTGACTCATACTCAGCCTTGGAGTGCAGCTTATGTAGGAAAGCTCTGCCAACATAACTAACATAACTTATTAGTAGAGACTTGCAAAGCTGGGGTGTGTGTGTGACTAATATAGGGAAGCCACATACTTGATACCTCCTTTGGTGTTCAATATTGCAGAAAGACTCTGCCTTCATATTATGCATATGACCTATCAGTAGAGACTTACAAAGCCTGGAGTGTTGCTACCCACAAACTTGTCATCCGACCTATCAGAGGAAATTGACTAATTCTTGACAAACTCCCACATACAAACTAGACACCTGACCTATCGGTAAAGACTTACCAATCCTGGGGGTGTAGCAATGGTAGGGAAGCCTCCACCTACATACATTGGACCTTCCAGCTCCATCCTCTTTTGGACTCGACCCCTGCTTTCTCGACCATTGTCCACTCTAAGTTTGATGAGCTTGGTGCCTTTATTGACCACTAGAGTATGCCACTGACCATCATTGACCCTTGCGGTGTCATTGAGAATAAAGCTGTCACCATTATATCTGTACAGCAGGGATACATGACCATCAATGAGCTGCACAGCCAGGTATGCTACTTTCTGAGGGTTGGTGATGTAGAAGAATGATCCCGAAGGTAGGAATGTTTTGAAGTCAATGGTCACATTAAATCTGCAAATAAATAGTTAACAGATAAGGTACATATCTATTTTGTCATTGTGTTGTACAGGCAATATTGTAAACCATTTTTTACTTGTGACATTGATTCAAATGTTTATCTAAAATGTTACTATTTTACTGAATATCTGATGCAATTTTTTGAACAGATGTAATTCTATAGTTTTTAATTTGAAAAAGATTATTTTGAATATTGAAATGTCCTGAGAAAAGACCAAGGTTCATAAGACTGAAAATGAGAAGTCATACACAGAGGAGACACTTCTCTTGTCCAGTGCGATTTCTCCAAAGCTTTCAGGTGATTCTCCAAATGCCAGCGCCAGGAATTCTGTAGTTTCAGCAGTTGGATCAGCACAAGAATCTGGTTTAATTGTAGGCAAAGTAGGTTCCGGAGTAGGCACAGGTGTTGTAGGTCTCTTGGTGGTAGGCTTAGGGGTAGGTGCAGGGGTGAGTTTTGGGGTAGGTTTAGGGGTGGTTTCCGGGGTAACCAGTACAGAAGTAATGCCTGCTCTACACCGACCAATATCAGCATGCTCATACTGCTCAGGGTTATTTAAACTTAAGATACTGCAAAAGATAAACAGGTGAAACCACTAAACAAAGGAATTTACTGTTCATTTGTCAAAATGCATTTACATATACATATAACAAATGTAAAATAAAACTTTAACTTTGCATGTCAAGGCAGGATCCAATCTGTCCATCAATTCTACTAGGCAATATTCCTTCTAATGATTCAATGCCTGGATACACAAGAATTTTTTACGATCAGGACAAAATTCATTGCTGGTGTGCTCTTCAACAGACCATGAATATTTGACTTATTTCCTTCCAAATTACTGAAGGTAACAACCTAACTTACTTTCCGTCAATGATGATGTCACTAATACAGCCGTCGAGGCCATTGATGTTGGCTACCATCACCTGGCGGTTGGACAGATTAGGGGCCCCTCCCAAGTAGAGCTTCTCAACACCGATTCCCTGAGTGGCCATGGGGAGGGTGCCATACCCCACTAACACATCGTCCACATAAAGCTCCATCCTGTAATGACAAGAAAACTGAGTATGTATAACATGTAACCCACTACTGTACAGACTCTATTAGAAAATGATAGAATGAACACGTAAAGTCAACAGAGGTATATACCATAATAAAATTCTACTTATCCTCTAGTTACTGAAGACTTTTGTTATGAATCATCATCACTCTTTGTTGAGTCGAGTGTAAATTAACTAATTATACTTCTTTAGTATGTCACCATTGTATGGTGATATTAATATATAACCATCAGTAAAACTATTCATAACCCTACTGAACTGGTTATGAAATTCGACATCATTCTCCTAAACGCTTGTGAAAATGAGAATGTTGACTTTGGTTTAATATGATAGACATTCGTGCAAAATACAGATATATATGAAATCTGATGCTGAAAACATAATGATCCATTCTCCAAAACCTGACTTAAGACTTATTTATCCTTCTCTGTTTATAAATTCTTAAATCAGGAAAGAATAAAAAAATGTTGTCTCAGAAATCATAGTTAAATACATCCATGTAAAACTGGAAATCTAACTTACACCCTCTTCATTTTGCGCACAGCCACATTATGTAGACGACCATCGTTGTATGTCTTGTTTGATGTTAGTGTCACTGGTAGAAAAGTGCCACTGAATCTACCCTCTATATGGCCATCAACCAGCGCCAATGAATAAAAGTTCTGAAAATAGGACTAACAATGTCAAATAGGGGAGATAACTCCAATAATACAAAAAGGGGAAAAATGAATAAAATTAATACATATATTTATTGGATATGTCATGCTGAAAACGTATACACTTCATTAATTTTTTTCAAATTTTCCAAATATAGAGTACAAACCAAACATTACGAACTGGATTTTTATACTAATGCATAATTTACTTCATGTTTCTTACAAACCCTTCACAATAGGATGAATGATGTTAGCGGTGAGAATAAAGTAAACTTTTAAAAATTGAAGACTTGTTTGGTTAATTTTTGGTGAAAGTTCAAAGAGAAATTGCACAGCAACCATTAGACAAAATTCAGTTAGTTCAAACTGGACTTGTAACAAATGTATTGATCCATTTTATCTTCTTTTTTATCACTAGTTAACAGGAAGTGTTGATGTGTGTTTCACCTTTAAGGGTACATAAAGCATGCTATTATACACACTCCAATCATAGAAAATATACTTTGTCCTTATCACAAATCTGCATAAATACAGTCTCCATACAGATTAGTTAACTGTAGATGTTAAGTGACATATGTATGTATGGAATAATGTCTATGGCTTTTTGAGTGAACAGTAATGCAAATTTAAAGATGGTGAGTTTGAAGAATGATGAATACACGTCATCAAATATAAATGAATGCAAAGACGAAAATGTGAAACATTCTTATTCCATCAAAGTGAACATTTTAATTCATTTTAGAATAAAAAAATATTCATTCATAATTTATCATGCTCTCTTATACCAAGCTAAGTCAAATAACCTAGTAAGTGTTTTACATGATCCAATCTATGCAAGTTAAAAACCTAAGTCCAATTTTGATGTGATAAAATCCAAACTACATAGTTCTCATCCTTGTTTCTTTTCTAAGGATTTTACCAAGGAAAATACAGATATGCTACTATTGTCACTTATTACAAGCATTAGTAGACAACATTACTACCCAGGTAAGAAAACAGACTCTCATTGTCCATTACATGATAAATATTACACACATGTGAAAGTTGATTCAAATCATCCAAGTTGATCAAAATCACTCAACCCAGCAAGAAACAAAAGATATGTATCACAACCCTAGATATCACTATTGTTGTTGGTAATGAAGAAGACTTTACGCACTTGACCCCTCTGATCTTTGAAATGTGTTACAGTTAACTATCTAAACATGTGTCAGACCTGTGGAACTCTGTGGTATTACCTAAAATTTTACACAGAAAGTTTTTAACTTGCATCGTTTACACTGGTTTTCTCATGCAGCATTCTCTTCACTTCAATCAAATTTTCTCTCACTTTCGTCTTCATATCAATATATTGACCATTACAATGTATTAAATACAAGTTACACAAAGCACTGATTAGATAGATATAAGTAAGTTATGAGCAGCATCAGTCCTGCTCTGTAATCATATCAGCAGTTATTTCCCTTTCCATGTAACACAAGTATTATAATCCATTATAAATCAGGAGGAATCGCAGCACCCCTGGAGTGTGCTATCTATTTGTGAGTGAGAAAATTATGGAAACTGAAGTTGTAAAGTGATATAATTATGAGGAAGGAATATAGACTACTGGTCCCATATATTTGAGATATATTATTGTTATATTGACAGAAATGAATCCATGTATAAATGGAAAATATGTACCTATGTATATTTTGAATTTTGGATATCATTAGACAATATTCCAAAAACTTACATTAAAAATCAGATACTTACTGGGACAAATGACTTGTTATTGAAAAAGTAATATAATATTTTGAATTTTGTCAAGTTGATTAAATTAAATACATTAATTAATGTTACATTGTTATACAACTACTTGAAACATAAGAGCCATCTCCAGGGGTCAAAGGTCATCACCAATACCACCTCCACGGGTCAGAAGTCAATTTACATAAACCAAGCTAGCTCTTGGGGTCAAAGGTCATAGTATAGACATACCAGACCTTTTATGGGTTCAACATTCATCACACAAATGCAAGAAACATTGCCTGGGGTCAAAGGTCATTATATCTCACAATAAAGCCATTTCCTGGGGTCAAAGATCATTAGAATTTTAAAAAAGCCAAATCTTGGGGTCAAAGGTAGCTATATATTTCCCAGATTCATCTCTTAGGATCAAGGTTCTATCCAAGCCAATGTCTTTGGTAACTTTACACCTATCACAGCCTAACAACATGACCTCTGACCCCACACGAAGGCCAACATTTTGGAAAAAATTGTGTGATATTGTTATACTGATTACTTGTAGTCATTGTTACCTTAGGCTCCATATCAAGCTGTAGGTAAAAGTGGACAGTGGAAGGTTAAACAGAGGTCAAATTCACAGAGGTCATACAGACATCACAAGATAAATGTCAGAAATCAAATAACACTTTTAGGTCATAATAAAGTGACCAAGAAAACGGTTAATGCTAACACATTCTAAAGGTAAACATGGCATTTTCTTGGATCAGAAACAGGCAGAGCATGTAAATTAAAGCTTTACACAGGAGAGGAAATGAAAAAATAATTTGATGTATGATAAATGAACAGGACAGTACTGACACATATATACTGTGTACAGGCACAAATACATCAATCATTTTACCATCCTAACCAGTCATCATTGACAAAAGAAAATCTGAAATTCTGCTGAAGTCACTTCCCAATGCCATGTAAAATATCTATATTCAAATGTTCATTCTAAAGACTTTAATAAGATCAACGTCAAAAAAAAAAAAAAATCACTGATCAATTTTTTCAAACTAATTTTACTGGCCTGGAAACAGCACATATGAATTAAACAAAATTTTTAAAATTGACATAAACAAAAGAAAGAAAAATTCAAAAGGAATTGGAGAACAAAATATAGCTACATTTTCTGTACACCTAACTTATTTTTGTTTAGAAAATTAACAATTTATTAACAAAAACACTGAATGAACGACGATGACTTCACAAAGACTGTAATGGGGTAGGAATCATGTGCATGTTTAGTGTGCTACAGGGGTCACAAGCTTCAGTAGGTGTCTTGGGAGTACTTGGGAGAGTGACCTTACCTCCTGGTCAGTGTCCTTGGCCAAGAGGAGCATTGTGTCCCTTTGTGTTGAGGTGAAGGACAGAGACACTTCACCAGAATCCTTTGCGAGTGGACTCCCATCATACATAGCGAAACCATTGCCATAGAAACCAACTTTACGATAACCCTGGTAAAAAAAGTGAAGTGTTAGGATTTTCTTTCACCAATTAGCGTTCATGAATATTAATACATCTCTATATTAGATGTGGCTATAATTTACCATACATACATTTTTCATTGGCATGTGGTGTACTGAAATATAAAACACTACTATGCCCACTATAGATTCTCCCTAGTGTACTGAGCCATGTAAAGGACCTTTGGTTAGACTTTATACTGACTAAACCCCTCCTTGGTTTTACTTAACATCACATTCACTTAGAATAAACAGATTATATACAGAATTCTAGAGTTGGCGATGTCATCTCCAAGGCAGTGAAACAGAACCAGAAGTTTTGTCAAGAAATATGTTGAAGGTATAAGGAGCACAGTATGTACTTACAGATATTGGACAGCCTTGTTTAACTCCAACAGAATTTCCCTGAAGTAGATCCCTTGTCTTCAGATCAACCTGGATTTCCTGCATACATCCTAGGAAAGGCATGCTTGTCAGGACACCCCTATATCAATACCATGTATATATACCTGATCATCTCAAAGAGTCTTAACAGGTGATTATCTTAAAATTTATTAAATCTATATTTTCTTCTTTTAACACATGTTAATTTCATAAGTTTGCAGAGTGAATAACATTTTTCTTCATTAGGAAGAATCAGTGAATTAAATTCATAAACTTCAACCAATGAGCCTAAAATACATTCCTGAAGTACAAATTACCATTATTTTCACACTCTAATATAAGGGATACAAAAGTTTATAACAAACTACTTATAAAACCAGTGATGGAGAAGATTCTCATTTCATAGATTCAGTGCTTCATGAGGGGGTCATTTTTAACATATAATAAATGTACTTAATTTTGCTGTCATCAGATTTTAGTGCATATTCCCTTTTTGGCAAAATAGCACGATGACGTAGGTAAATTCATACATCTATGATAATTTCTGAATAAGCAACATATAGATACTACAATAGTGTTATCATATTTTAGTGTAATAGTTTTGTCAAAATTATTTGAGATTTGTTGAAATAAAAATTTAGTTTTTGTATCAAATGTAACATTTTCTGTTTGGTTAGCATTGTCCCTCTGACCTTTTCTGAAATGGAGTGAGATCAAAACTCTCGGGCACTCCTCCGAAGAACAAGGGTACATTCTTGATCTCCAGTCCTGTGTTACCAGGGGCAGCTTCTGCTATAGATTCCTCCGCATCCCCAACTGACATGAAGGCTACAGAAAGGTCAAAGTTGAAGTTTAATTAGTTTTTATGATCTCTGTAGAGATACAAGGATGATACTACAATTTGTATAGTACTGATAGGAATTTCATCATTGCTAATTCCTGATAAAGAATTTTCCAAGTTCATTATAAATGTAGATATATATTTTGTATAATACACATGTAATTATTTAGTTTAATACATGCTGTTTGATCTTCATTCCTATTAATTTTTAATTGTGGACTGACTATGTATAAATTGTCTATAAAAGATAAACAAATAATCACATGTAAAATTCACAAAAATGTTTGTTGTCAGAAATTTCAGGTTCACAAAATGTTTGTTGAGGGGTTACCAGGAAAATCTGATCAGAATAGCTGTCTAAACATGCTGAACATCATAATAATCAATACAATATGCATACAAGTCATGTTCTAATATTTTTACCTAAAAGAACAACAACAAACACTGTCCTGCTTGCTTTCTCATTTGATAATTTCCCAGTTCCCATTTGTCATGGTAATCTTTGCCCCCCCCCCCCCCCAACCCCCCCAACCCCCCACCCTTCACCTTCCCTTCGCCCTCATAAGTTTTTGGTTTTCCCTTTTGGTCATCCATTGTTTGTGGCTGACATTGTAATATTTTTTCAACTGCAAGCCATTCTAATTTACTGATGTGGTGTAGAATCCACCAATTATTGTTCATAAACACATCATCTATGTATTCAATAATTAAAAACAGCATAAAAGAATAATTCTATCATTTAATTTCCTTTCATCAAAGTAAAAAAATTGTCATAAAATTGCAAATGTATTCCTGAATGCAATTAAGGACAAATAAAAATCAAACAGAAATACTTGAAATAACATGCTTTTAAGATACAGTGATATAGAGACTGGAAAGTTTTCTCACTGGCATCACACAAAGAGTTAAACCATTGATACCTGCAGTGTTGGGCTACCGTAGAAAGAGAACCAGGAACCCAGGAGATGTGACAGATAATTGATAAAAAACATGCATAATACATCGTTTAAGAGCATTACACAGATTTATTTCAGATCGATGAATTTTAAAATTATAAACTGTTTTTTACAAATTAATAATTTGATTGTCAAAAACCAAATGGCTTTTATATGGGTTGGTGTTAACATTTTTTTACACATGTATTAAGATATGAAGTAATTCTGTGTGGTAGAGGTTACATAAATGTTTGATACATGCATTTGAAATACTATGGTGTATTAGAGGTTACATAAATGTTTGATACATGCACTTAACATACTAATGTGTAGTAGAGGTTACATAAACGTTTGATACATGCACTTAAAATACATGGTTGTTTTGTTACACATCATATATCTTTAAATATGACAGTTCAATGAGTTTTGAAATGGCTGCCTAAGACTACTGCACACAATGTTATGGCAAGTCTATATATTTATTCTGTGCAAAGATTTGATAATATGGGATGATGAAATAATTCACCATTTAGAAACAAAAAAGTTTTCTTTCAAAGTTTAAAATTTCTGCTAATAAAGTAGATACATTTTTCACTGAGAAGAAAAAAAAAATTTGCTATGAATAACTTTTTTAAAGTTGAGGTTCAAAAGATTCATTATCATTTACAGGTGATATAAGAGATTTTGCACTTCAATAATCTTTGTTTATCATATCAAATAACTTGCCGTACATCAGTGTTTGTTCAAGCCCCAAGCATGTAAAGATCCATGTACTTAAGTTGTCATAAACATTCAACAGTTCAAACCAACTCTACGAAAATTTAATTATCCTAGATTATTCCAGCCAAAATTTGTTTTATGAGATAGATGTAGAGGAGCCGATAATGATAAATGCAAGTTCTTGCAATCTTTAAAAGGGAATCAATGTTTATATCTGTGATATAGTTTATACGAACTGTTGATGTTTATGAAACGGCACAAAGCAATCTGCTGACATAGTCACACTTTGCAATCTTCTTTCATGTAAACAGTTAGATATCAATACTTCCTAACAGTTTAAAAAGTTTACTTATTTGAAATCTCAACAACCAAACATTTGCTAGTAAAATTTTGCTGATTTGCTGAGCAAAGATTGAAAAACAATACAACTGTAAATCGCAGACAAGGTTAAATCCACGATATTCCAGGGGTTACGTTCACTTTTGGTCTCTGCACCCCTTGCACATTTCCTGGGAATATTGAAGGCACAAGCGAAGTAATTTGATCTATTTGGTCCACAGTGGGTTTCAGGAGAAAAAGACCTTACCAACACCACACTGAAAGGCTCTTTTGAAGGTTACAAAGTACAAACACCTAACTTCAAAGCCTGTACAACATACTGTTATGTGACCTCGGGATTCGCTTGATGTACATCAAAAGATTAAACTAGTCTTCTTGTCTTATCCACAAGGTGTCACACATGGTACTTTCAATTTTGCCATGAAGTATTCCAGGGGTGCAGAGAGTGATAATGAGCATAACCCCTGGAGTATGAGGATGACAAGATTTAGACTATAAGTTGATTGCAGTATGTGACCTTGCCCTGATGAACACAAGATCAGTTGGAGATGTACCGCTCGTGAGAGTGCGCTGGACCACGACTTTCACCCAGTTGCCATTATTGTATGAATTTTTGGTTTCCGTCCGAGCATAGCTCATGCCCCCTAGGTCGAATCGCAAGACCACCTTGCTATTGACAAGCTCAAGCAAGATATAATCTCCCTGAAATGTTAATTAGTTTGTTAATCAGCCATAATAGCATGCAGCCATTGGTTGAGACATCACCATGGTACTGTGCATAGCAACCACCTGAAACCAAACCAGTACAAAAACACCACAAACCAATGTTAGAGATCTTCCCTCACACTAGTGGGACCTTTCAGTAAATGCACTTTCTATTCTATATTTCCATACATATAGATTTTCTTTTTTAAACTTTGAACTATTTTGAAGTATTGTGATTTTGAAGTATTTTATCACCCTGGGTGCATCTTAATGTAAAGGTCCCAATAATGAGAGGATTGTGAAAGTTTTAGTGTGCAATTTGTTGTCATGGTAAAACAAGCAAGATGGTGGACAGTAATGTACCCTGGAGTTTGTTCCGGTTGAGGAGCACCTTGTGCCACTGATTGTTATTGTACAAGTTGTTGGTCTCCAGACGTATGTGACTCTGACCGCCCATGTATATGTGGGCTTTAACATGTCCATTTAGCAGGCTCAAATATATAAAATCTCCCTGAAAAAAATCACATTCCATGTAAAATCTCTAAACAATGTTTAATAGATCGTAAAAAAAAGTGTATGAGTTGAGAATATATGTGTACGGAAAGGCAGTGGTAAATATAGTAAAATAAGACCAAATTTGTGGAATAAAAAAGAGATTAGGTCAAAATTCAAATCTTCCAGTTTTGAAATTTCATATTAAGCATTGAAAATCATTGTGACTAAAAAAATGGTCAAGACACTAAAAAAAAATTAATGAAAACATAAATTTCTTTTTTTCAACATTAATATTGAAAAATAATATTTTGACAGTAACAAATATAACATAACCAGTAAAACAAATCTGATGCATCTCAATTTACACATCAAATATACCTGTCATTTTATTAGCATTTATGGCAAAGACTCCATCTATATCACTGACATTTATTACACACAATGAACTTCGTCTATGTATTTTTTTGTACATTAATTTATCCCCACACAATTTTTTTCCTTTTCCATTGACATTTACAGCCTAAATAACCCACTATAAATGACATAGGTATTTCTGAATATCCACAAGTTTTTGATAACAAAATCATGACTCACAGATAAGGGGTTCCCTGAAAACAGCAAAGTGGTGTTTTCCCAGAAAGTTTTAAACTCCAACTTGATGAATGTTCGGACACTGATGTACTTGTCATCCTGAGCAAGGGAGGAGTAACCAGTTCCGTCGAAGCTGAAGGTGTCGGTAGACAGACTGCCAGGGGAGGGACTGAAAAACAACAAAGGGTACTTCCAGATCTATCAATAAAGATGACGGCAATAAGTGTAATAAAAGTAGAATACTGAATATTATGGGGTATATGACAGGCGCAGAATCATCAACTCTGAGCATGCTCAAAACAGGATACTGTAAATCACCTAGATATTGAATTTCTTATGATTCACAAACTTACCTCTTAAGACATATTTGCAAATACCTAATTTCTCACATGGTGGTCTAGAATAACTTTAAATTTGTGAATAATGGGCTGTTAGGTCTATGGCCTCTGATACTGGTAACAGAATCAGCATGGATGTCAACAAGAAGTATTTTTGTACAAATAATCAAATAATTCACGATTGACTCTCCTGATGAAACAAAAATTAATCCCGACGTGATATATGAGTGATATACAGTACCAGCAAATGGTGATCTTTCCACCTTCCACTTGCAGTAGAGATTTCCATCTCGCCTATATATCAAGACTACTTTCATTTTCTAATTATAATGTACTACATAACTACCCATAATCATTTTTATTCATTTTCAGTATGAATAAAAATCACACCCACATTAAGAACAGCCTGTTTACTGTACTCTATATATATAGTCATCCACTCTATTAGTTATACAATACAAACTCAATAGTTACAGGTATCTAAGAAAATTTCAAATTCAAAGAATTAACTGAGATGGCAGTGATCATGACATATGGAACTTTCAAAACAAAGAAAATATTATATACAGTGGATTTGAAACATAAATAGTCTAATTCAGTCATTTTACATAGTGGCTTGGTATAAAGGGATAATCTTACGCTGTACCAAAACATTAAATCAGCTAGTATGTAGATTTTCCATTGTTCAAGAGACTGATATATTTCAAACACACTTTAAACAGTGATGATAATTTTATAATATGAGAAAATAAATTTGAAATTTGCAGATCCTGGTTACATGTCACAGACCCAATTAACTGATTAGGTCAAGGTAGATAACCCTTGTATGTTCATCAAACAATAAACCCATCACACAGAGAAAGTGAGGACATTTCTGATCTACATACACATCTCTGCAGCCTCCACATGTCCCATATGACTGTTTAAAGTTGTGAAGTCCAACACGTATGTCATCAATGAAGAGCTCTCCCATACATCCTGACATATTGCCTTGGGCTACAACTTGAGCTAACTGAAATGTACCAAAACATCATATTTCAATATTGCAGTGTGACAGACTCTCAAAAGTCTTAAAATAACAATTTCTGTATTGCCTAACATTTGAATTTGGTCAACCATCAAGTTAAATGATAGATGTGTGTTAGGGATTAGACAAATGATAGAATGTGTACATATATAAAATGCCTCCATTCTCTGAAGACAAATGATAGATGGTGTGTTAGGGATAGACAAATGATAGATGTGTTAGGGATTAGACAAATGAAATGATAGATGTGTGTTAGGGATTAGACAAATGATAGATGTGTGTTAGGGATTAGACAAATGATAGATATGTGTTAGAGACAAATGATAGATATGTGTTAGAGACAAATGATAGATATGTGTTAGCGATTAGACAAATGATGGAAATGATAGATGTGTGTTAGATAAGGATAGATAGACAAATGATAGATGTGTGTTAGGGATTAGACAAATGATAGATATGTGTTAGGGATTAGACAAATGATAGATGTGTGTTAGGGATTAGACAAATGGATGTGTGTTAGGGATTAGACAAATGATAGATGTGTGTTAGATTAGACAAATGATAGATGTGTGTTAGGGATAGATAGATATGTGTTAGGGATTAGACAAATGATAGATGTGTGTTAGGGATTAGACAAATGATAGATGTGTGTTAGACAAAAATAGATGTGTGGATTAGACAAATGATAGATGATGTGTTAGGGATTAGACAAATGATAGATGTGTGTTAGACAAATGATTAGACAAATGATAGATGTGTGTTAATTAGACAAATGATAGATGTGTGTTTAGACAAATGATAGATGTGTGTTAGGGATTAGACAAATGATAGATGTGTGTTAGGGATTAGACAAATGATAGATGTGTGTTAGGGATTAGACAAATGATAGATATGTGTTAGGGATAAGACAAATGATAGATGTGTGTTAGGGATTAGACAAATGATAGATATGTGTTAGAGACAAATGATAGATATGTGTTAGAGATTAGACAAATGATAGATATGTGTTAGGGATAAGACAAATGATAGATGTGTGTTAGGGATTAGACAAATGATAGATATGTGTTAGGGATTAGACAAATGATGGATGTGTGTTAGGGATAAGACAAATGATAGATATGTGTTAGGGATAAGACAAATGATAGATATGTGTTAGAGATTAGACAAATGATAGATGTGTGTTAGGGATAAGACAAATGATAGATGTGTGTTAGGGATTAGACAAATGATAGATGTGTGTTAGGGATAAGACAAATGATAGATAATGTGTTAGAGATTAGACAAATGATGGATGTGTGTTAGGGATAAGACAAATGATAGATGTGTGTTAGGGATTAGACAAATGATAGATGTGTGTTAGGGATTAGACAAATGATAGATATGTGTTAGGGATTAGACAAATGATAGAAATAGACAAATGATAGATGTGTGTTAGACAAATGGATTAGACAAATGATAGATGTGTGTTAGACAAATGATAGGATTAGACAAATGATAGATGTGTGTTAGGGATTAGACAAATGATAGATGATATGTTTGTTAGACAAATGATAGATATGTGTTAGACAAATGATAGATATGTGTTAGGGATTAGACAAATGATAGATATGTGTTAGGGATTAGACAAATGATAGATATGTGTTAGGGATTAGACAAATGATAGATATGTGTTAGAGACAAATGATAGATATGTGTTAGGGATTAGACAAATGATAGATATGTGTTAGAGACAAATGATAGATATGTGTTAGAGACAAATGATAGATATGTGTTAGGGATTAGACAAATGATAGATATGTGTTAGGGATTAGACAAATGATAGATATGTGTTAGGGATTAGACAAATGATAGATGTGTGTTAGGGATTAGACAAATGATAGATATGTGTTAGGGATTAGACAAAATGATTAGACAAATGATAGATGTGTGTTAGGGATTAGACAAATGATAGATGTGTGTTAGGGATTAGACAAATGATAGATATGTGTTAGGGATTAGACAAATGATAGATATGTGTTAGGGATTAGACAAATGATAGATATGTGTTAGGGATTAGACAAATGATAGATGTGTGTTAGGGATTAGACAAATGATAGATGTGTGTTAGGGATTAGACAAATGATAGATATGTGTTAGGGATAAGACAAATGATAGATATGTGTTAGGGATTAGACAAATGATAGATGTGTGTTAGGGATTAGACAAATGATAGATGTGTGTTAGGGATTAGACAAATGATAGATGTGTGAGATGTGTGTTAGGGATTAGACAAATGATAGATGTGTGTTGATAGATATGTGTTAGGGATTAGACAAATGATAGATGTGTGTTAGACAAATGATAGATGTGTGTTTAGACAAATGATAGATGTGTGTTAGGGATTAGACAAATGATAGATATGTGTTAGGGATTAGACAAATGATAGATGTGTGTTAGGGATTAGACAAATGATAGATGTGTGTTAGGGATTAGACAAATGATAGATGTGTGTTAGGGATTAGACAAATAATAGATATGTGTTAGAGACAAATGATAGATATGTGTTAGGGATAAGACAAATGATAGATGTGTGTTAGGGATTAGACAAATGATAGATGTGTGTTAGGGATTAGACAAATGATAGATGTGTGTTAGGGATTAGACAAATGATAGATGTGTGTTAGGGATTAGACAAATGATAGATATGTGTTAGGTATTAGACAAATGATAGATGTGTGTTAGGGATTAGACAAATGATAGATATGTGTTAGGGATTAGACAAATGATAGATATGTGTTAGGGATTAGACAAATGATAGATATGTGTTAGGGATAAGACAAATGATAGATATGTGTTAGGGATAAGACAAATGATAGATATGTTTTAGAAATTAGACAAATGATAGATGTGTGTTAGGGATTAGACAAATGATAGATGTGTTAGAGATTAGACAAATGATAGATATGTTTTAGAAATTAGACAAATGATAGATGTGTGTTAGGGATTAGACAAATGATAGATATGTGTTAGGGATTAGACAAATGATAGATATGTGTTAGGGATTAGACAAATGATAGATATGTGTTAGAGACAAATGATAGATATGTGTTAGGGATTAGACAAATGATAGATGTGTGTTAGGGATTAGACAAATGATAGATGTGTGTTAGGGATTAGACAAATGATAGATATGTTTTAGAAATTAGACAAATGATAGATGTGTGTTAGGGATAAGACAAATGATAGATATGTTTTAGAAATTAGACAAATGATAGATATGTGTTAGGGATAAGACAAATGATAGATGTGTGTTAGGGATTAGACAAATGATAGATATGTGTTAGAGACAAATGATAGATATGTTTTAGAAATTAGACAAATAATATATATGTGTTAGGGATGAGACAAACCTTTCAGCACTAACATGGTACCACTTCTTGTTCTCAGTAATGAAGTTTTCCTCATTCATTATGATCATGTCATTGGTAACAGACCCTGGTCCACTGCCTGCATCCCAAGAGAAGTGCATCTTACCCCCAATCAGGTCCAGGGCCATGTATTCCTGGAGAAAACATATTTACAACTCATAGAATTGTCAAAGAAATGTTCAAAATAAATAAGTTAAAGGAATTGTGACCCAAAATTTTAGTAAGAGGGCCCACCATGCCAAACTAAGCATTTTGAACAATATGCAAATTTTAAAGCTTCTATACAGGTTATGACTGTATATTTGTAAAATGTTTTGCAAAGAAATCTTCAGAATGGAAGCAGAATAGCAAGCAAATTTTAAGAAAGTTACCTACAATTAAAAATAATGTTCAGTTCATGACAGGTTTTTTTCACCTGATCACTTTTAGTGTACTGCGGTTTTCAGTAGTTTGATATCCAGTTATTCCATAATGTATCAAAATTACTGGTGAAGAGTAAAATTTTCCAAGAATACAGTAAAGTCACCAATAAATGGTACTGATGGTACAAGACATTGCTAGATGACCTACCTGAGGACTCTTCTGAACAAGGACTAACAACATATCAGTAGCAGAGTTGTTGGTTTTGAAGATGAAGTTGATGCTGTTGGTGGTACGAGGTTGAGTCTGGGGAACAAATGACCTTGAACAGCTGCCTGCTGTAGATAGGGATACCTTCACCTGTTGTTACGAAGGTAAAGGATTATATACTACACCTGTCACAGTGTACAGGACACAGGTCAACTGACTCCATTATATTGCATGACTTCACATTTCCAGTTTAGTATTTCCAGTATAGATTGAATAAGATTTGGACTTGATGTTGCCCCCATTGACTGGACCGAACCAGATGTTGCCCTAACTGTGCTGCTACTTTCAAGGTGGGATAAACTTTGGGACTAAATCTGTGTCCTACCTTCTCTGCCTGAGCACGGGCTTGTTTGATGCTGTCTCTGAGTTTCTTTAGTTTGGCCTCCAGCTTTGTCTCCTCTTCCTTGGTTTTATTTGATGCAGCCTCAACATCATCTATAATCGCCTGGATGCTGAGTATGTTTGCAGTTACGTTGTCAGCTACAACATTAAGTATGATCCAACATTTATTTCAAGTGCCATCATCCACTCCAAAGCAGTGGTTGTTAACAAATAAAAGGATCAGGGCAGTGACAGCTCCCAATTCTTATTGGGCTACATATGTTACATTTAAAGACAGCTGTATATCGAGCAAGTATGGAACTGAACAAACCTGAATTTTGAACAGCAATAGCTATCCTATCTATGTTAAAATCCTGCATTGACTTTAGCTTGGGTATGAGGTCATTGTTGATGTTGTCCTGGATACCCTTGACCTTGTCCTTTGTCGCTTTCATTGAAGTCTCTGTATTATTCATATCCTCCATCACTGCCCTTGCTCTGTCACTAATATCTAAATTGAAAACACAACACATGACAGTGTGATATCACAATGTTACTTATAAACAAAACACAGGAATCAATGACATCATACACATGATATAGTGACATCACAAGATTGCTTACAAAAAAAACCCACAGGAAGTAAAAATGTGTTTTCGCTGAGAACTCTAAATTTCCTTTAATATACTAGTATATCACATCCAGAAGTGAAAAATGATTCAATGTACTAAGTTACTTAATGCGGTCACTAAAATTCTGGTAAAATCATTTGTTTATTCCACAAATTAACTACAAAACATGCACAACATTAAGATTCATACCTTTAGATAGTTTATTCATGTCCTGGTCAGTAGCATGTAGTTTGTCCCGAGTATTGGCCTGGGTATTGTTTACAATGTCCAGTGTATTCTCCATAGCCTTCAAATCCCCAGCCAGGTCTATAATCACAAATGCAATTTATTATAAAATTAGATACATAGATGTTTTCTGGAAGCAGGTCGCCACACCTCTATATCACAATCTTTTTCCTCTTCTAAAACCTAAGTAAAATTAAAGGACACATAATTTTTTCATGATGTGTTTTCCCTGAAGATTCCAATGAAATCTTACACTAGTACAGCAAGCCATATAGTGTTTTTCTGTAGTTCAATTAACCCTTATAATTCAAAGTGCAAAATAAAAGTGACAGTAAAAAATTAATGTCAAAATTGCACATTACCTGTAACATCTGTTCCAGCCTTGTTGGCTCTCTTCAGTAAATCTCTGCTTCTATTGAGTGATTTTTCAACTGTGTTCTTGATTCTGTCAAGGTCAATCTAAGGGGAGATAATTTTACAGATCACAACTCATTTGTCAATATATCCATCCTATATAGAGTGCACAAAGAATTTTCTTGGTGTAACAAACAAACTTTTTTTTCTTTCATATTGACTCCATTTGTCTCCTGTCACCCAGAGCCATCCACGTGATTAAAACTTATACAGAGGCGTCCAGTTGAATCTAACATAAACGCTTGTGATTATTTATCAAGCCTATTCAGCTGTAGTATTAGCCATGTAGGGACAAGGATTATACTTCCTCATGCCCAGTTTAATGACATCTGATAACTTTTAGTATGTAATGATTGAATTAAAATAAATGATTAATTTAAACATATCTGACTATATATACCAGATCTGTGGAGTTGTCAGCAGCCGCTAATGCCCTCAGAGCTGCCTCCTCAGCTTCATCTATTGCCGAAACAATGTTTTTATAAACATTAGCTGCTTTTAGGGGAAGTTCTGCATCAGCTCTTGCCTTCTCAAACATCCTAGGGAAAAAACTTAACATCTTAATAACTGCTACAATAAATACAACAATCATTTGTAAATTCTTGAAATAAAGTTTTGATTTCCAACACAGGATATGTAAAATCATACGATCAGCCACCATACAGGATTCATTCAACATATAACGAGATCATGGACTTCAAAATTCCCCTCTTTATAACCTGTTCTCATTATAATTTAACCCATCATTTCAGGGGATACAATACCAACTGCTGCTGCGTTAGAGAAATATGAAAAAAACAGATTCACAGAATCTGTTTAATTTATGCCCCGCCCCCAAAAGTACATTATAATACAGATAATGATATTGATAAAACAGTTTGAAGCATCAAAGATTTAAACCCTAAATGGTACCATGGCAAACATCATGAAGAAGTGTCATTCAAAGAACAATTTTTTCAACATGGCTGATCTCCTGCCTAACTGTTAAATTGGATATCTTATCATTAAACTTGGCTATAAATAACAACCAATCACAACATTATCATTAAACCTGGCTATAAATATCAACCAATCACAACATAAGTATGCCTAGTAGACATTACTTTTCCAGGACATCAGCCTGTTGATCAAGGTTTCTGGCATGGTCCCATGCCACTTGGGTATGGTTTTCTGCCAGAGGAATTGCTTTTCCAAGATCGGTGTCTACCTTCCTAAGCTCTGGTAGAATATAGTCAAGGGAGCTCGCTTCACTGTTCACATTCTGTATACACAAATAAATATGTGTTTAGGAACTTATATTAAAATATTTTTGCAATTTATATTTTTCAATATTTTTCAGTACATGTACACAGCACATGACATTAAAAACTCACACATATACATTCCCATAAGTCATGTACATAATCAAACTAAGCTAACATAACACATTGTATGGATATGAAATGGTATATCAAAACCTGTTTAAACACTCTGGTCTATATCTATGGGCAAATGTATCCCCTGGTATTATCTTATAGGTCAACAAAGATATCAGTTTATTTTTTTGTACAATGAAAATATCTTGATAAAATGTACTTGCGGTCTACTTCCTAAAACTATGTGAGATAAAAGAAAATCACTTTTGTTCTTCTGAGAACATTTTTTTTACATCGAATGACAAGTTTGTAGACACCCATCCATATTAACTAATTATTATTCTAAGTAAAACATTCTTGATTTTTTCTGTGTAAGGAGTGGTGACTGTATACCAGAAACTTCTGACCTTGGACAAAATAAGGGCAAAAGTTTCCTGGTATAGAGTATATGTGTTCTACTTTTGCAAACAAATCTTTAGAAAGTGCATAGTGAGCCAAAACATGACAGAACACTCACCTGGATGTTGAGGCGAGTACGCCTTAGCAGAGCACGAGCGTCCTTGATAACTTGATAGCCAATGACTAAACTCTGTACAACCTGATCCTGGGCTCCATCTATATCATACATCAGATTCTACAACACAGGATCAATGGTTTTGCTTAACAACACCGTTTATCACTATACATTTTAAAAGACAATTACCATTTCTCAAGTTTTAGTTCAATTCAACAATAGCACATAAAGTACTACATCAATTCCACAATAAACCATGGTAATAAGCCCACCCACATCTGTCCCCATTTTTGTAGAAATGTAAACTAACACTATATTTGTCCTGTTATAAGCCCAACCACATCTGTCCCCATTTTTGTGGAAACACAAACGAACACTGTATTTGTCCTGTAATAAAGCCTACACAAATCTGTTCGCATTTTTGTAGAAATGCAAACAAACACTGTATTTGTCCTGTAATAAGCCTACCCACATCTGTTCCCATTTTTTAAGAAATGTAAACTAACACTATATTTGTCCTGTAATAAGCCCACTCACATCTGTTCCCATTTTTAAGAAATGTAAACTAACACTATATTTGTCCTGTAATAAGCCCACCCACATCTGTCCCCATTTTTTAAGAAATGTAAACTAACACTATATTTGTCCTGTAATAAGCCCACCCACATCTGTCCCCATTTTTTAAGAAATGTAAACTAACACTATATTTGTCCTGTAATAAGCCTACCCACATCTGTTCCCATTTTTTAAGAAATGTAAACTAACACTATATTTGTCCTGTAATAAGCCTACCACATCTGTTCCCATTTTTAAGAAATGTAATTTAACACTATATTTGTCCTGTAATAAGCCCACCCACATCTGTCCCCATTTTTTAAGAAATGTAAACTAACACTATATTTGTCCTGTAATAAGCCCACCCACATCTGTCCCCATTTTTTAAGAAATGTAAACTAACACTATATTTGTCCTGTAATAAGCCTACCCACATCTGTCCCCATTTTTTAAGAAATGTAAACTAACACTATATTTGTCCTGTAATAAGCCTACCCACATCTGTTCCCATTTTTTAAGAAATGTAAACTAACACTATATTTGTCCTGTAATAAGCCCACCCACATCTGTCCCCATTTTTTAAGAAATGTAAACTAACACTATATTTGTCCTGTAATAAGCCTACCCACATCTGTTCCCATTTTTTAAGAAATGTAAACTAACACTACATTTGTCCTGTAATAAGCCCACCCACATCTGTCCCCATTTTTTAAGAAATGTAAACTAACACTATATTTGTCCTGTAATAAGCCCACCCACATCTGTTCCCATTTTTTAAGAAATGTAAACTAACACTATATTTGTCCTGTAATAAGCCTACCACATCTGTTCCCATTTTTAAGAAATGTAATTTAACACTATATTTGTCCTGTAATAAGCCCACCCACATCTGTCCCCATTTTTTAAGAAATGTAAACTAACACTATATTTGTCCTGTAATAAGCCCACCCACATCTGTCCCCATTTTTTAAGAAATGTAAACTAACACTATATTTGTCCTGTTATAAGCCTACCCACATCTGTTCCCATTTTTTAAGAAATGTAAACTAACACTATATTTGTCCTGTAATAAGCCTACCACATCTGTTCCCATTTTTAAGAAATGTAAACTAACACTATATTTGTCCTGTAATAAGCCCACCCACATCTGTCCCCATTTTTTAAGAAATGTAAACTAACACTATATTTGTCCTGTAATAAGCCTACCACATCTGTTCCCATTTTTAAGAAATGTAAACTAACACTATATTTGTCCTGTAATAAGCCCACCCACATCTGTCCCCATTTTTTAAGAAATGTAAACTAACACTATATTTGTCCTGTAATAAGCCCACCCACATCTGTCCCCATTTTTTAAGAAATGTAAACTAACACTATATTTGTCCTGTAATAAGCCCACCCACATCTGTCCCCATTTTTTAAGAAATGTAAACTAACACTATATTTGTCCTGTAATAAGCCTACCACATCTGTTCCCATTTTTAAGAAATGTAAACTAACACTATATTTGTCCTGTAATAAGCCCACCCACATCTGTCCCCATTTTTTAAGAAATGTAAACTAACACTATATTTGTCCTGTAATAAGCCCACCCACATCTGTCCCCATTTTTTAAGAAATGTAAACTAACACTATATTTGTCCTGTAATAAGCCCATCTCACGTCTTTGAGTAAAATGTTATGTGTAGGTCCTTTTGCTTTAATTATGTCAACATAAATATATTATGATCAGTAGAAAATAAGGATATCTCACATTTCTAGGAAGATCCTTACCATATAACACTAAACTTACCTCTAATCTTTTATTTTTTACAGTGATGCCAAGGTTTTTACCGGACACTTCATCCACAACTTTCTCCGTGGCATTAGTCTTCTGTCTGAGGTCTTGTAGTCGCCTCTGAGCATCATCAAGCACAGTCTTCACAGGAGAAGTGTCAAGCAGACGAGCTTTCATGTTATTTAGTTTATTCCGTATTTCTCCGATCTTCCTAATGACACAAAATAATTTTTTTTTCAAAACCTTGAGCTTTATTTCTCTTTAATTACATAATGTCTATATTCACTCTAAAAAGTTTTTATATCCAATGAAATCTATTGGTAAGATTATGATCATAAAGCTGGACAAGAAAGTTGACAAAAGGAAGCCACACAAAACGAAAACCAAGACAAAACTGGATAAAATGGAAAACAGAATAAAGTTCATCATAACAGAGTATTTCAAAACAGAGAAAAATTAGAAGGAGAGTAAGATAGTTATGAAGTAGATTTCCTTACATGGCCTTCATGGCAATTTCTACCTCCTTCTGCGAGAAATCTCTGTCCTCTATTTCCTTTAAGATTTCCTTGGCTTCAGCCAGGGCTTCGGTTATGTTTATACCACTAGAATTAGGATGTCGCTCTATAGAAACGCCAATATTGGCTACAATGTCTGAAACACAAAGAATTCATAGTATTGTAACATCTGAACATCTGACTATTATTAGTGAATGATTGAACACAGTGAAATTACAGTAATAAGTAACACATTTCCTTATAAAAATATCATTTTGACTGTGATCTAATGTTGACTATCTAGAAATCTAAAACTCAAGTTAAACACTGAAAAAATTAAAAATGAGATGTGAAATGGCAGCTTTTATCCATAAGATTATACTCATCGTTTATTGACTTTTACAATAAGAAATACCATCAGGCCTAAAGAGACCTTTTAAAACGTCTATATCTCATTACGAAGTATTCACAGTCCAGAAAGTGTCACTTATTAATAGCACTTCATCACAAGTACTTTTGAGTTCGTTGAAAAGGACATCAATTTCATCCTCAATTTTGTTGGCATTTTCGTCAAGTTTTTCTGCCTCCATAACTGCAACTTCTCCATCAGCCATCACGTTGACAGACTGTAAAATAGCACATGTATTTTAATACTGTATCAAATGCCACCTCTCTGTCACCCGTCACTTTGATGGACTATAAACCATGTGTTATTTACATAATAGTAGTCAAAACTTAGTGTGTTCTCTAATTGCCAACATAATTTAAAAGAATGGAAATTAACAGCTAAACATACAATTCAGGCCTAAGAAATTCAAGCTACATGATATTGTGTAACAGATTGATATGCAACTATAGAACATTTCCTACATTGTCACTAACTGAGTACTCAAAAACACACTTATACACCAAGAAAATGGGAGTCTCTTAAAAAATTCTTGGTTTATTTGATAACTTGGCATTCATGTTGGATACAATATTATAAAAAAAGTTGAATAATACCTTTGTTTTCAGTTCCTCTGCCTTAATTTTCAGGGGTGCCAACTGACTTTCTAAATCTCGGATCTCAGCCATCTGTAGTGCATCCCATTGTTCCTAATATAAATTAAGATCATGTTCAGAAATAAACAATTCACAAAACACGGTATTAAAAAAAGAAAACATCTAAAAAACCTCTGTTATAAAAGAGTGCCCTTGCTCCAATGCAGGCAAGTACCAGTGTTTGATGAATTTCTTTAAATAATAATAGTGACCTTGAACTTGGAACCCTGAAACACAAACTCATCTGAGGTAATGCCTTAGGTGAATTTTTAATAAAAGTTGATGGAAAGTGACGACATTAAAATTCAGGATGGACAGTAAATTTGTATAGGCCTTAGTAATGCTGAAGTGGGTCCCCATCTAAATAAAAAGCTGTCAGCATATGGATCAAGGTCATTAAGGTCATAATCTCTTGGGTGAAACTGTATGAATTGCCAGACACCTACCCGGAGTTGTTTAGTGTCATTATTAATCCTCCACAGTCTATCCCAGGGGACAGGAAATATCCCTGTGATGTTGACAGTCAAAGTAATGTTGTCTAGCTTGTCCATCTCTAACATCAGGTCAGCAGTACATCCAACATCACAGGCTAAAAAGGTCAAGGACATGAATCAGGGATTACAAGGTCATAGCAACACTAACAATAGTAACAATGTTTTTTCACAAATAGATACATTTAAAAAAGTGTTCTTGACGTTAACAGAACATCGATGAAGGCAGGTGAGACAAAACAAAAGCAATGTATAGAGTAATGTAGATAAAAGCTTGTAGAAGGATAAGTGGTTCTTTAATGCTGATATAAAATGTAAAGCTGTTAGTACCATATAATTCACAGTAAGGTCATGTTTCCTCACAATAATTGTTATATTGAATAGTTTTAGAAATGTTGATAAAGTTATTACAGAAAAATACCAAGGGATGAGAAAACTAATCTTAAAAATAGAAAAAAAATTTACACCATAACACAGGGCTTTCATAAGCTTCGCCTGTAACCTAATTTCTACTGTATTTTGATTTTTACGATAAAATTATTCTTAAATGAAAAAAAAGTAGTGTGGATGTCAATGATAACAGTGAACAGACCTACATATTTATTGTTATACTTACAGACACAAGCACCATCCACCACAGCATATCTTGGCTGACACGAATCACACTTCTCACCCATAATTCCTGGCAGACACACACAGTGTCCATTACTGTCACAGCGACCCGACACTGAACCCTCTACATTACATTTACAGGGCACACAGGACCCTCCCACCTCTGTCGGGTTACCATAGTAACCATCTGCACACCTAAACAGTGAGAATTGAAAGGTGGGACCTCTGACTGCCTCAGGCAAATATAAGCTGATGATTTGTGTCACAAAGAACAGCAGAAGTGTCAAATAAGGACATCTGGGGTTGAAGCTTCAGATTTTCTATCATAATCATTTTTTTAAATTTTTTTTTTCAATTTATAACAGGAAAATTTCGTCATAATGAGAAGTTGGTATTTTTACCATTGAATCTGTATCAAGAGACTACCTGTCATATGTGACATATAAGTTTGATTATTTTTCAAAATGTTATTTGCATGAAATATATTGTTTCAAATAAAATTTATGTTTATAAAATTTAACATGCTTTTAAAGTCTTATTTTACCACATTTTGACAGGTAACAATAATGTTTCCTGTTACTACACACCTCTGACAGCGGGTCCCTGTGTAGCCTACTGAACAGTTGGTACAAACCAAACCACTTCTCTGGATCTCACATGTTGTACTGAAACTAAGCAACAAAATACAATAAAATCATGTAAACTAGAAAGACAAAGTTTTCACAATCATATGTCTGCCTTTCTCCTCCGTAATGACAATGTTACAGTTATGTCCTTATTAACCAAATACTGTAATCGATGGCTGTTATTTTCACAGCTCTTTTTTCCCCCCACTATTTTTGAAGATTTGCAAAAAATATGAAAAACAGATACTTAGAAATTAATGAAGAAATCAATAATTCATTTAATAACTTCTGGTAAAAATTGCATTTCTTTTGCATCAAGCTTTCCATGAAACTGAACATTTAAACAACCTTTTCAGCGATGTCCCATTTACCCTTAAAGAATTCAGTTATAATATACAAGGGCTGATAAATTGTGAGCCTCATACTTTTGGTGGACATATTGCATTATTTTTCAACCTGATCCACTTTAGTATCTATACACTTTTGCCAGCGATGTTTAAGGGTCTCAATGCCACTTTTAAATAAGTTCTTTTCTTGACCGTTTAGAAAGTCCTCCACTGATGTATGATATGTCATCATCTGACTAAAAGTGAGTACCAGAAATGGACTTTTCCAATTTTGGAAACAGATCAAAGTATGATGGAGTGATATCAGGCGAATAAGGCAGAGGCTCAATCAGTTCAAAGCCACAATCGTTAATGGCAGCCAGGGTAATGACAGACTTGTGAACAGGGCTGGTGGATCAACACACCTTTACTGGAGTTTAATATTTTCTTTTAACTGTCTAAAAGTGATGCATAATGCATGCCATTGATTGTTTGTCCCTTTTGCTGATAACCTACCATCAGAATACCATCAGTGTCCCAAAAAACTGAGGCCATAGCCTTTTGAACTGATGGAAAAATCTTTGCCTGCTTTGGCGGGGGTGAATCAGGGTGTTTACATTGTTTGGACTGTTGTTTGACCTCTGGAGTGAAATGATGGACTTACATTTCATCCAAAGTCACAAATCTCTGCAGAAAGTTAGTAGGACCTGCCTCTAAAAGGTTCAGATAAGCACAAGACAAAGTCCGCCTTGTGTGTTAGTGATCAAATATTAGAAGTCTTTGTACCCAACTGGCTGAGCGCTTCCTCATTGCAAGATCTTCCGTAAGAATGAAATGTATTTTCCTGTGAAATTCCAACTGTACTGGGTATATATCTCTCTGTAACTGTCAGCCATGACAATATCATAGACTTTATTGACCATTTCCGGTATTGTAACAGTGGCAGCCCTTCCAGGATGGACTTCATCCCCAAGGCTCTGCCTGCCATGCTTAAATTCCACCACCCAACTTTTTACTGTTGCATATGAAGGGGCATCATTCCCTAGTGTTGCTACCTAGCAGTATAGACATCCTTAGGTGCTAGACATTTCTTATGCAAATATTGAATTACTGCTCTTTCCATAATTTTGTTGATTTTGCAAAAGTTACTTGCTTTGCTTACTTTGTGGTGCTACCTTTTCGACATAAACTGACCAAATGACACCAGTCTTTGAGTACACAGCCTTAAATTGTCAGGGAACAATAGAGCTGAAAAAGGACATCCCTGCTTAACTTCTTCAATACAAGGCTCTCAACCTATCAATCAGCCATCGTAGCTTGAAAGTTAAAACAAAAATTTACAAGAGTACAAACTTACATTCTAGGTGAGTGTGTCTTACCTGTTGGTTACACTTGGACATAAACATGGCCTACAGTCAGAATTTGTCCCTCTAGTGGCATCACCATAGTATCCAGGGGCACATAACTCACAGTTGTGTCCATAAGTGTTACCCGTACAATTCTAAGAGAATTAAACAAAATACATCAAAAGTTAAACAAACATGAAAGACAACAATGACAGGCATAACTTGTAATTCTATTTCCATGTGTTAATTGTTGCTAGTTGCTGAAGGCAAGAATGCAATTTAAGACAAACAAAATTTAAATTGATTTCGATGTAATCTTAAAATTGTGATTGCGAAATTAAACACTAAAACATGTAAGAATAAAGTTAAAGCAGTGTATCTACATAGGATGTGTACTTATTGTATATGTGTGTTCTGTACTGGACATACATATCTTATGGTACATGCTATAACAAAATGTTACAGTTAATTGTGTGTACTTTTTGGAGGTAATACATTTATGTATATTATCAGGTAAAAAAATCTCCAGGATATCTGATCTAGATAACTACAATAAATGTATTGTTCTTGGTTCGATAGCATAGCCATTTCATAGAGTAAAGAGATAAAGGGCAACAAGTTTTACATAAACAGAAAAAAATACTGAATTTATCATACCACCTCATCTGTGATGGTAATATTTGTGGTAAGATTACTGTAAGGATGAAATGTTTCACAAAACTTACCTGACACTGCCCAGAAATGATGTTACACATATCGCTATGGCCATTACAGAAACACTTCTCCACTCCTCCAATAATTAGGATGGGGTCAGAGATCTCTATGGTCAGGTTATATCGGAACTTATAAAATCCTGGTGCAGGCAACTGTAATGGAAATTAATTTGCTACTCAGAACACACAAATAATAGTTTATATACAAAGGACAATTGTAACCGCTGATGTCAATCTACTCTCTGAGAATTACCTGTATTTCATATTGAGTACAGCAAAAAGACTATAAGTTCCACCGACTTTGGCATATCCATTGTTTTACACTGTCTTTTTTACCTGGCAGGAAAGTCCATCGTACTTGTCTGGACACTCACAGACCTCTACCCCTAAGGCTGGTTCTGGATTACGACCAGGTACAGGAGGTACTGCTATCTCTAAACCAATGTCTGTTATTCTGTAAAAACAAACCATACATCTCCCATTATCTCTGTTATAATGATTATCAGGCAACAGTGATATAAGGTACTACTGGTAGTCACATAAACACATGGATATCAATTCAAACAAAGTCATTTATACATAAAATACATTACAATGATGTTTCCTACTTCCATATATGGTTATATAATATGAATACTGGTAGTATTATATATGTACTCACTCTGAATATACAGTATTTTTGTCATAAGAAGCCCGCACTAAAATGGCTGTGACATTCTGGAGAACGATCATCATCATCTTCCTTGTCGCTACCTTGTCAAATCCTTGTATCTGCCAAGCACTCTGTATAAATTATTATCAAAGGGATGTTTGATGAATTGTAGTTTGCAAATATTGGGAGTAAATACAGTGGACTCAAGACTGTTTCAATATCACCAGGTCTTACAATTAAATCCCACAGGTTTAATTCAAAGTATGCTATTTTAATGCTCTCAATTAACTATATATACCTGCATTGCGAATGAAACTGAATATTTTACCTTTCAGAAATATTACCTCATCACTTAAATTTAGCTTTAATAGATAATAAGCCATGTCAGTATACCTCGTGCAGCTGAAGAACTGAGCTTCGTGTTGAGTCTGGCATCCAGGACCCTGTGCTGTTGTATAACATTTGAAAAGTGTTGCCTATGATCACAACGTCCGGATGAGGCTGAATGAAGGGTCCAGGGTTGTCCTCAGTACGGTACATCACATTGAACCGCAGTTTACCATTATAGGACAGGGTCTAAATAAAAACAGGAGAAATATATAGATAAGCATACCATATATATAAAACTTGTATGATATAGTTCATATCCAAATAAGAAAGAGGTAGAATGCACAGAACGGCTTAGAATGGCTCCATGTATGACTATATTGAAAATGTTTTTTGAAGAATTAAATAAATGTTCATAGATTTAAGAACAGAGAAATGAGCTGATTAGCTTGCAAGTCTAGTACTGCATGTATAGAGTAATAACCTTACATCTGGTAATAATATCCCTCATGTCTACTTCTGTCCGTTATAATTATCTATCTACACATTTTTCCTTGTCCTGTAATAAGCCCTGCAGGATAATTAAATCAATAAGAGATCCTTTTAAATGTTTAATTAATTTTACTTTCATTTTTTTGGTACAAAACGAATCAACTTATAAGATGGTTCACTGCTCTTCTTCAAACAGGATATGACAACCGGATGAATCATCACTTACAGAAATTATTAGATACAACTAGGGTACAGATTTATATTTAAAGCATTCTTTAAAATCATAATGTTAAACAGTTTCTGTAAACAATTGCTAAGATTCAAATTGAATTTCAAATATAAGCACCATGTCCCCTGTTATGGGCAGCTTCCAATAGAGTGGCCCAGCCCTCAGGTACTCTGGGATAGATGTGTAAGCAGTGCCCTCTGGTATCACATTGTAGTATTTGAACTCTCGGGTCACAGCTCTGGATACTCTTGGGTCAAAGGTCATCCGCATATCTGGAATTCTCACCTGAATACAGAGAATTAAAAATTTATTGGATAATGATCTTGAATCAATAATTAAGCAACTATAGGTTAAGATCATGTTAATAGGAGAAAATATGAAGGTACTTTATGAAACAGGTTGGTTAATTGGCAAGGTTAATCCATTGTTGACATAGGTTAGAATATTGCTAACCCTGTGTTAAACAGGTGATGTTACTATTTGATAAACATGTTTACTTACCAGATCCCAGACATAGGGAGCCTGCTTACAGGTGGAGGATCTCTCAAAACAAAAGCATTTAGTACAGCCACTGGGATTCTCTTTGTCCAGACTGAAGGCATTAGGCTTACAGCTGTCACATGCTTCCCCCTCCGTATTTTCCTGTGATAGGTTAACATTTAACAGTTAACATAACTCTTACATATATAGTCTGTTACACAGCTCAATACCAGACATATAGTCTGTGTTTGATAATTTTCATGTTATTTTCAAGGAGATCTCTTTACAATAACTATATTTAAAAAATCTTATCAATTTTATGTATGAAATGTTAGTCAGATTGAGGTAACATCCTACCCATTCTGAATTCAGTTAATTGTGAAGAAAGCCAGAGAAGTCTCCAATGAAAAATACAAACAAAAGTTGAAAAAGTACAGTATCTGATGCAAAATTATCTACTTTTCTGGTCAAAAACATTTACTTTGAGAAGGTAAATATATTTATTTTATTTAGAAGCCTTAGAAACCTACGAGGTACAGATAACTTACCTTACACACACATTGTCCACGGTCATCACAATCACACTTGTTAGGACTTCTACAGCTGCTGGCATTGGTTCCACGATCGTCACACTGACAAGCCACACAGTTAGGGAAGCCATGATAACCAAATAGACAACGATCACATTGGTCTCCGGTGTAATCTCTCCTACAATTACACTTCCCTGTGCTGCGGTTACACTGTGCAGACTTAGAGGTCCCAGGATTACACCTGCAGGGCTGCGACACAACAGTGATAGATTACTAGTACGATAGAATGATGTTCGGGTCTAAACCCTAGTATAAAGAATATTTTTATATATATACAATCTTTTGCTTATCAGTTCATGATGTTAGGGAAACCTTAGCCATATTTATAAATAATGCATTAATTTTAGATTAACATTGTGGAAACCCCAAAATTTCCAGCTTCAGAATATTCTATAGACATGTCCAATATAAAGCCATCCTTTCAACAATTAATTTAAACAGTATTTGTTAGGTTTCTTTTCCTCGTAGAAAAATTAGATATTGTTATGGATCTAGAAACAAATGAGTTTTACTGTGTTCAAAATAAAAAAAAGAAATCTGGAGTATATAACTCTAAAACAATAAGGTTGGCAAAAAACAAAGATGTTTTGGAACTTTGAAAACATTTTAATTCAAGATAGACAATTTATCTGTTTGGGATATTTTGAAAAAAAGAATATTCATCTCTGATTATTTTACCTTGCAGCCTTCAGTGGGATGATATCCCCAGGTTTTGGGACGGCAGCGACCACATCGTGGTCCAGTGGTATACGGGGGACATACACAGTTACCTGTCTGTGGGTCACAGATATGACCTGGCTTGTCACAGGGGTCACATCCTACAACCGAATCACAAGTAATTACAAACAATTTTCTTATGTACAGGTTCCTGATATACAGTTATGACATCAGATACTGTAAGGAGTGGTTTTATTTAAATGAAGGTTCAAATTAATTTTCACAATTTTTTCATGGAAGTCATTAAGACCATGGATTTCTCTATCAATGTTATTTTCAAAGTATCTGTTATCAAGCATTATATCTATTCTAAAAAAATGATGAAAAACTGAATCCCTTAAAAAGAACTAAAGTGTTGCAGATTCATCCTAAGAATTTCTCATATTTAGATATTTTTACACTTTTAAATGATTAAATTCAATATATGAACTGAATTTGAACTAATGCTTCTAGGGAGGTTTTCTTAACAAAATTGAATTCTTACTTCTACAGCCATAGACAGAAAATCCAAAGTAATCCGGGTTACATTCATTACAAGTTCTTCCCCCGACCCCAGGACGGCACACACACTGGCCAGTTGTCCTGTCACATTGGCGATATAGTGACCCCACTAGGTCACAATCACATGGGGAACAACCCTGTCCACGGGGCAGGCCGTAATAGTGGTCCTGTAATAGACACAGATTATCTACAGCTGGTCAGGGTAAGATATAGTAGAGTTGTATTATCAGTCAATATGTTTGTCATAAGATAAGTAATTCTTACAAACCTTCCACATCCTATCATTTTTAGTTTAATAAATGAATTAAGAACTTGTACACGATTCCATCCAGTAAACAAAACAAAAACAAAAAAACCAAACAAACTTGACATAAGTCCTAATGTTGTAAAGTAAATTATGTGTATTATCAAATTGTACTATTGTTTTCATCAAAGTACCAAAGCCAACATACATAATATAATTACATGTAAAATAATCAAGATTTGTTCATTTTATATTGGCAATGACAAATGTGCCAACAGCATGCTCATCACATAAATGCTGTTTTTGCTGTAAAAAAAAAACCCTGAATAATGAGCAGGATGCCTTCCAAAAAATTTTTCAGAACGTTTTTTCAATTTCTTACTGTTGTAATTTTTTTCTCCTTCCCATTTAATCCAAACACTGATTAAAATGCATCCATATATGGTCAGACAAGAATATTCTGAAATAGGACAACATAACAAACCAGTCTGATTCTAAGATACCATAGACTGATCTATAGGTAAGCACTCTTTGATGATAGAGTGGATCGCTGTGTGTATTTACCGGTTGATGGCCCTAATGACTTTTTGTGTGTTGACGGGCCATTAAAGAATGTCATAATAATAATAATGATAGAGTTGTTATTGTACAAATAAAATTATGTTTCTTCATCACTTTCTCTGTAACCAAGGACATAGTTTCTGATAAACAAAAACAAACACATGCATATTGGAATACGTGATATACAGTATATGATATATGGTATGAGAAAGCATACTCTACAGAAGATGAAGAATGAAGTCCCGTACCTATAGTACAGAATATACAGCCAGAGAAATAAACAGTAGGTGTGGTGGTTATGGAGACACATGCAAATGACAATATACATTGTAAGAGAGGAATTCACAACTTTGAAAAGACATGCTAATACAATTCAGTAACACAGGTCTCTATATAAGGAAGGATCATGGCTAGGAAAGGCAATGTCACCAAAGTATACATTTAAGTTTCACAGGTATGAAAGGCCTCTCACTATTTGCAATACATTTCTTCTCACTAAACAGATAGATTACTTGAGAAATGGTTGCTATGACTACTATGTCTAACCTGACATGCATCACACTTCGAGCCAATCACGTGTGGCAGACAGTTACAGTAACCAGTGGTGTTACTACACTGTTCTGTTAAGTTAGTTCCCAGTGGGTCACATTCACAATCTGGTAGAAACCAATCAAATATCATATAGCAAACAACCAATCAAATGTGATGTAAGAAACCAATATAATATGTAAGTCATGATTAACATGAAACACATAAATTATCAAATGATAAATGTTATCTCATTAATGAAACTTGATATAAGCCATGAAATGTGTAAATAAGTTATTAGAAAGTAATAAGATTCTCAATGAAAATATCACTACAAACATTCTAATTTAACCTGATAAAAAAAATCAAGTGTAGACATGAAACTTAAAATCAAACAATTTCATTAAACAAAATTGAATAAGCTTTGACCCCAACATACCTATACACCCTCTCTGAGAAAAGCCATAATGTCCATCTTGACAAGAATCACATGTTTGACCTGTGACCCCTGGATGACATGGGCACTGACCAGTCAACACATCACACTGAAGTGTCATAGACCCAAAAGGATCACATTCACACGGAAGGCAATCAGCTTCTACATTTCCATAACCCCTCTAGGATGTTACAAGGAGAAAAAGTATCAAAATATCATAATTTCAGTAATAATTCAGTACCAGGTGATTCCAAACATTTGAAGTATGTCTGACATCAGATTTAAAATTCAACATAAAAACACTTTCAAAATAGCCTCTCACACCTCAATTGGGAAATTTGAAGTTATAGTAATATTTCATGCATGATGTTAGTTTCCATGACAACAAAAATACTGACACCATGACAACAAAACACAAACACCATAACAACAGTGCCATGCATGTGCATTGATAACTCTTTGTTAGTTCTCTTAAGATTATGCCCATTGTGGATTCATAGTAACATGACGAAGTGAATACCCCGTATATATTTTAAGATATTATGTGATGAAAATGACCCTCCCTCAAGTTCAGGTAAAACACACATATCAAACAAAAAGTCTTCACTAAAAAGTGTCAGGGTTGGAATTATCTGGGAAAAAACCTCACCTGACATTGGTCACAACGCCGTCCTCCAAATTTTGACCGACACTCACACTGTCCAGTTTGTCTGTTACACTCAGTGGTCAGTGATCCACCCTGGTCACAGTTACACCCTAAAATGGAGAGAAGGAGTATTTAGATAACAGTGAACAGATTGATACACACATTGATGAAAAGATTCTTTGTCGCAAAGTGTACAACATAGAACTCTGAGGTTGTAAAAGGAAAGAGAAGGTTATAGTGACAACTGAGGAATACAACCTAAAACAGAATATTTTTGCAGGCAGGTTTGAGACGCAGTAACGATGAGAAGAACATGTTGTCCACACTACAATCATGTACTTACTCTGACAGTCACCATTTCTAGCTGTACCAAAGTATCCAGGAATGCAACGCTCACACTGGTCTCCCTCAGTGTTGTCACGACATCGGAGACATGCCCCTGTTCTGGGATCACAACTACCATAATCTGTTGTGTCTATATTACCGTTACAGCTACATGGGCGACAGTTACCTCCCGGCTGTCTGGGGTCACCATAGAAACCTGGAGCACACCTGTAAAACAAATGGTACAAACCAATGCAATTAAGTAGCTGTCCAAATGAAATCAACAAGTGAACACAATTTGTCTTTTCATATCTTGTCATTAACTTCTGAGCATGTTTGTGTTGACCTTGACTAACCTTTCACAGTACTGTCCTGTGTATCCTGTCCGACAGCCTTCACACACGTAGTTGTCATAGTTATTAGGTATGGGATCCAGGCGACATGAAGTGGCAAAGTTGTTGTTTCTGTCTGGGAGAGGACAGGCGCAGGGTTTACAGTCAGTTTCCGTACCCCGCCGTGGGTCACCATAGTAACCTGGTAAACACTGGTCACAGTTGTCACCCGTTGTAAAGTGCTTACATTCCTGAAATGGAACATCTTTTACTAACATTCATTTCCTTTTGAAGATGTTCCTTTAAACAGTAAATTTGGTGGGCTGATTAACTAAATATAACAAGTATACATGTCCACTACCGACCCCTACAAGCTAGAGCAATGACCATGATTTTCTAAAAATAATAATAGCGACCTTGCCCTTGAAGCTATGACCCTGAAACTCCAACCTGTCGAGGACAGTTTGATGTTTAATAGGTGTGTGAAGTTTGATGGGAATCTCTCAAGGAAGGAAGCTACTAGAGTAAATCTTTCACAGATGTAGTAACCGATGGAGAGGAAAAGTATAGTCTGCCATGGTTACACTAAAAATCAGTATCTTAAAATTCATTTATCATAATAATTAGAATAGCAACTGCTTCAGTGCTAGGGGTGCATATATCATATGTTTCCTGCATTTAGTCAAGACAATTTTAACTTAGAATTTGAACAGGTGATGGTGGACTTATAAACAGGGATGGATGTATTGCTGAGATCAATACGGTAAACACACAGATGAAAGTTGTCACACATACCGAACACCTGCCAGTAACAAGATCACATGTATCAGCATGTTGGTTACAATCACATCCTTCACAGATTCCTCCATACAGCTGGCCATTTAATCTTCTAAATCCTGGGGCACATCTCTGAAAAAAGACAAACAGAGAATAAGTTATAAAGGAAGAAGTAGAAAAACTTTCAAAAGATCTGTGATGTTGGCCGTATCTAAGAACAGTGAGAGACATTGACCCTTACCTCACAGGAGAGCCCAGCATAGCCTGGAGGACAGTTACACATCTCCACACTAGGGAGTGACAATGGACTATGTGATGTGTCACTTACACTCTCTAATATCACATTCTTCAAACTGTAATATAAACATCCATTAATGAATGAATTTTAACCTTTAAACTTTATATTGAAGATTAATTTCAGATTCAACAGTGATAAAGATTTTATTAATACAGATTGGCTGTATAAAGAAGTTAAGAAGCCAGTTAAGATCTTGTTAAATCTACATTACAGATGAGGTATCAGCTTTAGAACACTCACAAGACAATGTCCTGTGCAGAGTGATACGTGGCACGAATCAGGATGCGATCTACTTGATAGAGAATTTCCATGAACTGTCGTCGTGTTATTGGTGTCAGGGACGTGGAGTACAGCCCTGTGTCTGTGAACATAAACCAGTCCTTCTCCACCAGAGGGACTCGCACCATCTTCTCTGTGTTCTCACGCAGATAGTTTCTCCCTGGGCTTATTGTGATGTTTCCACTCTGTAAATAATTCCACAAATTATTGGGTTTCAAAAGTATATGAATTCAAGATAAAATATGTGGCCACATAGTCTAGAAGATAAGCCTACTACCAGATTTATTTTAGAAGTAATTGTCTACAAATCTTCAGCATTCATACCATATAGTCATTTTCGTGGAGATGATGTTTTCGCTATATTAAAATGATCATGAAAATCAAGCATATGAAATAATGACACATTTTTATAAGATGTCCTTTCACATCCAGAGCACAAAATTTTCATTTGTTAAAGAATAATTTGATTGTTTTAAACAAAACATTTCATGAAACAATATTACCAGCTATATGGCCGTTTGAGGTAAGATTTAGTATGGAATATACATCCTTATTTTTGTTCAGTAATACCTTTACATAACTCTCTGTGCTTATTATGGCACCCTACATAGTTACCTGGATGATGATGTCTATATCATATAGATGTCTCTGTACACGAGCCATGTAGTCCAGGGTGTACTTTGTGGTATAAGAGAACATACCTCCATATGAGCTCAGCTGCAAATAGGTCACATTTAATTTATTACCAAATGTATTCATTTATATATTCTGAGGCAGAATAACCAGATATACAATAATCTTATTTAAAATAAAAAGTTTATTTCTATTTCTACAATCTCAATAAAGTTAAATGCGAAGACATACAATAAACCTTGAGGATATAAAACAATTTTGAACATAAATGTTTGTTTGATCCAAACGGATTACACTTACCCTGTTGCCAAGGTAACTGACAGGAGCTTGCCAATAGTAGATAAGTTGGCTGTCCCTAGAATCAAGAGAGTTCTGACTGCGCGAGGGGTAGGAACGATGCTCCAGCCAACCTTCGTCATTAGTCTTAGAGAAAAGTGTGAATCCCTTAGACCTGTCTAGTGTTGTAATGGTCCATCCACTCATACCATCCCTCATGTCACAAATCTGTAAGAAGCCATATACCATCATAAAACACAAAACATCAGAGGAAGGAACCCTTAGACCCATCCAGTATGGTGATGGGACTCCCTCCATATTGTCCCTCATGCCACAAGTCTGTATGCACAACACCATTTTATAACCACAGTCTCATAATGAGGGAGCCCCCCATTATGTGTGTTATCACTTGTTTACTTAGTCATGAAGTTGGACAAAATTTTTGTAAGGAGTAGCATTCTAGAAAATAGCCACATGTTCAGTCAATATCTGTTATCTTGTCTTACTGTTTGCTAATATTACATATTCCATTTACAAAAATGTCAATAATTCTTTGTGGATGTTCTGAGAGGCGTGAAACCATACCTCTTGTAGTCCAAGGCCTGAACAGGAACAGGAGAAACTGACACCAAAACAGAAACATTCTGTACAGCCATCTGGGTTAGACTTCTGGAGGTTAAAGTACCCTGGCTTACAGCGATCACAGTTTCGATCTTCAACTTTACTCTGGAACACAAACATTATTGATTTATTGATATTTACAATAATTTATATCAAATAGTGTATTAAGATGATACATAAGTAAAAATTAAACTGTGTTGTATTTTTTAGATCTAAATAAATCTGTTAAGTTAAGAGAACAAAATATTTTGGATAATCTAATAGACACAGGGCAAATCTATATAAAGCATGTTAATGAGTCACTGACTTCTGCACTGTGCCCATGACGTTGACAACAAGCTCAGGTATGTGACCATAACAAAGCAGAAGACCACATGCCCATTGACATACCTTACAGACACACGATCCTTCACACTGGGTAGCATCAACTGTCCCCGCAGAGTTACATGGGCATGGTTCACAGTTAGGGTAACCATGGTATCCAGCGGCACACTGGTTACAATTTTGACCTCCAAAACCAGGCTTACACACACAATGACCTGGGATCTGCAAGGTCAAATAAAATAAGTTTTCTACTAAGTATTAAATCAATGCTTATTTACAAAGACTTAAATAATTGAAAGGTAAAGTCTTGTATGTATGAATAATTTTATATATTTTTAAAAAAAGAATTAAAATGAAATTAGAATCAATATAAAACTTTCATCAGTACCAAACATCTATCTAGGCTATGTATGGACTTACCAGGCCCTCGTCCATCCTTGAATCATCTGGCACACAGCGACTGGTTGACCCTCGGGACTCCCGACAGTTACAGCGACGACAGGGACGACGACTGGATGGTGGTACACCCGCTGGGCGGTAGTATCCATCCTGACATCTCTCACAGTTTACACCAGCTGTATTTTCCTGTAAATTTATCTTAGGTCTATCATACAAACATATAACTTACACAATTTTTGAGTCAAGTTAGTCACAATTTTAATTGCCAGGAACAAAACTCATGAAGAAATTTGTCTGTTCTAAATCCTGTCAAACTTATAAGTTACAGCATTATTTCACTTGTTGGTAACTTATAGTATAATCAGTGAAAAGACAGGAGAAAATATGTCACAGTCTCACTCAAGTCAGAGTTAGATATTAGAGTTTCACACTCAAACTCAGTCAATAAAGTCAATTGTTTAGATATACTGAGTAATGTTTCTGTGTCTTTAAAAAATAGTACACCTAAACTGTCATATTACTAGAAAATCACAAAGTAATATAGGGTACATACCCGACAGTTGAGACACACCCCTCCACCATCATATTCCCCACGTATGTTGAGACTAAGACCTTGCTCAGCCACTGTAGCATTGTACACACACTCGTCAGAATGGCGATGACAATTACATGCTGAAATAGAAACAGTGGGGACATTATAGGAAACATCTGTTCAGCAAACATGTGTATTTCTAGTTCAACACATTCTTTTCACATTTAAAGAGAGCATCAATTAAAGGGACTTAACTCTGGGTAAGCATACAGTCTCAGTATAAAATAATGCTAATATAAACTCATGAAGTTAAGGCTCATTTTTCTACACACTATACTGTATTTTCTGGATTATAAGCCGCAGCTTTTTTCCTCGGTAGTGGGGTGCGCAGTTTAAATACCGGTGCGGCTCCAATGAAAATTTTTGGGTAGCACAACATGTGTGCATCTATAGGCATATTTCTGCATAGTGTATGTTATCAGCATACAATAGCCTTACTATTTGACAGTACTGACACTAGTGGAGAGGCTGTAATACTCTACATTTTAAATCACCAGCCATAAATACATCCATGAAATAAAGGATAATTTGTGCAGAATTTATCAGTAAACTTTATTAAATGTTATATAGGTGATCTTAATAAACTGCTTTTCCTTACCTGTTACCAGTATATCAAACGTCAACAATAGTGGTTATCATATCGTAAGAAAGGGTGTGGCTTATATTCCGATGTGGCTTACATGTGGATCTAAATTGAAAAAATCGCTAAAAACTGGCCCTGCAGCTCATAACCCCGAAAAATATGGTAACCATCTCTATAAGATGATGCATATTTCAATCCCTAGTCTCTTACCTTCACAAGCGAATGCATTCCCATTCATCCCTCGTCTCCATGGTTTCTGATTAAATCTGGGACAGCATTTCTCACAGTTATTACCACAGGTATTATGTCTGCACTCACAGCGCAGTCTCTACAATAAGCAAGTAACCAACCAAATTCCATGATATAACAACAAGCAGCCAATCAAATACCATGTTGTAACAACAAACAGCTAATTCAATTTTGAGAACTAAAATCAATTTAAGTGAAAAAACCCCCAGTCAATTTGGCTGATGTTTGTGTTAAGTCCAACATCATCACTGAAGATTTCAAGAAGGAAAAGAAATATTTGATGCAGTTTTGCTCTTATCGGCAATGGTTTGTTTTGTTTGTTTAAAATACAATTATACATTTTGATTGGTCCAGGAGAATTTGTAGCACAAACCTAAGGTGTACATTTCCTATACTCACATCTGTGCGTCTGATGGTGAGACATCTGGAGGCGTGGCCATAACATATGCACTGGCCACTAATGGAAATGTCTTTTATGGAATAAAAATACTGCAACAAAGAGTAGGTATAGACATGAGTAAGACAAGAATTCTTTTTAAAGTAGAAATTTGAAAAATAAAAGTTTTATGATTACTTTAGCAGTTAGATGATAAATCAAGACTTACCCGCCGTGTCACTGAGGGGTCCAGGTATTTAGTGTCACGGAACCTAAATGTCATGAGATCAGCATTCAGGGTAAGAATTTTCTGCAGGCGTAGCCGAACATATCTAGCAGACAGGAAATCCTGTAATCAAGGAATCACAGTGTTTATTAGAGCTATTTCTGGAAATTTTCAATTGGGAAAAGTTTGGAAAACATTTTGTGGGAAACATACATATTGGACTAAAAGACTGAAGCTTGTTTTGTTTCCTTCATCTGTTAAAAATTTGTATGATACTAGCATAACCCATACAGTCATAGTTTTTTCCCCATAAGTATTTTATCAGATAAAGGAACCTGTGGCAATTTTTTGATATTTGATCATTCAGAGTTATCCATACGCTTACAATGACCTTGGTAGAAAGCAATCTAGATCAAAAAGCATTTCAAAGACCGAGATAACTCAATTACCAGGCCACAACAGAAGTTTTCAAATGGAGATTGGAATTGGTGACTTTCAGAATAGGATAATTATCTGATCAATTTTGTTGGCTTTGTAAACACTGAATTATTTATTAGAGGCTTCAAATGATCACTGTTAACTGCTTTACCACAATTTTTTTTCAAAATCAAATTTCTTAAAAACAACATTGATAAATGAGTTTATACCAGAATACAATGATGATATAATTCAGTCAGCTTTTCAAAATTGATAACTTTAATTAAACAAAATTCTCTCTTACACTCAGCATATAACTTCCAGTGTTTGATTTATTACACTCTGTGCCTACTGACTATGTTCCTCGCCAGGATTGTCTCCCCTGGCTACACTCAACAGCTGTGTTTATCAAATGTTAACTGCTCTGAGTATAACTCATGTCAAACATCTGCCTTATGTTCTCTCCCCTGACAATTTTACCCATATGCTACTCAGCGGCAGGGTTTACCTAGGGTTGTTCTCCCCTGGCTACTCTACTCACCAGCACTGTTTGACTAGGGTTATCCCCCTTGACTATTTTTCTCATCAGCAGTGTTTGATTAGGGTTATCTCAACACTCATTCACTCACCAGCAGTGTTTGACTAAGGTTATCCCCTGGCTAATTTATTCACTAACAGTGTTTGACTGGGGTTATGCCCCTGACAGCTTTACTCACAGCAGTGTTTGACTAGGGCTATCCCCTGACTACCTTACTCACAGCAGTGTTTGACTAGGGTTATCCCCTGACTACCTTACTCACAGCAGTGTTTGACGAGGGTTATCTCCCCTGACAACTTTACTCAGAGCAGTGTTTTACTAGGGTTATCTCCCCTGACAACTTCCCCTGACGATTTTACTAACAGCAGTGTTTGAAGAGGGTTATCTCCCCTCACTCGTTTACTCACCAGCAGTGTTTGACTAAGGTTATCCCCTCGCTAATTTATTTACTAACAGTGTTTGACTAGGGTTATGCCCCTGACAACTTTTCTCACAGCAGTGTTTTACTAGCGTTATCTCCCCTGACAACTTTACTCACAGCAGTGTTTTACTAGGGTTATCCCCTGACTACCTTACTCACAGCAGTGTTTGACGAGAGTTATCTCCCCTGACTCATTCACTCACCAGCAGTGTTTCACTAGGGTTCTCTATCCCAGGTCTGTCATTCACTAATGATACTATGACCTGTAAACAACAAATGTAAACAAAATTAGTTACAATTTCTATCAAAAAGACTAGGATTCAAAACCAATACACCTACTAACTCATTTTTCAGAATATGTACGTTCAAGTATATAGAGATTTTAGCCTTCCTGAAGTTGCTTTAAATAGATTTTCATCATTGTCAATGCCTCAACAAGATTCAGTTTCCTAAATCGTTTCTCTTTTTTATGTCCATTTATTTTACTAGTGCTTTCTTCACAATAAGTAGGCTGATTGCAACTTTCTTTAAATCTCCTCAATCCTTCTACAATAGGACCATCACAGTATCATGTGATACTAAAGTGTAATTGAGAGTTGATTATCCAAACCTAATTAGTTACAAATAAGTAGTTCAAATAGATCCCATTGAATTACTTTTGCCAAGGTATCAAAACCAACTTTTCATTCTGAGAAGTAACTAAAATATAGACATTCTACAGCTCAGAAAGACGATTTTCAAATAGACTTATTCCGCAAAAAAGTGACATTAAGGAAATCAGATAAAAAAAAGAAGTTGATGGTATGACTGGTATAATGAATAATGATAAATGAGGACTAAAATCCAAATTATAAATTTTTAGTAGCACATTGTAAAAACCAAAGAGAAGTTATCAGTAGCTATTGAAATCTGAATCCGACAGACATTCACAAAATTATGTTGCAAGTTAAAGTGTAATTCAAAAGTTATCTACATCTTTCATAATCATTTCTGTTTGTTATGTACCTCTCCATTTTCAAAGGGGACTAGCTTAGAATAGAAGGAGGTACATATAACTTCATTGTCCCTTGTGTATCTGGGACGTCCCCGCGTGGCACGGATACCATATGCCCTGTAACATTCCTTGTTGGACCGAGCAAAGTATTGCCATGGCTCAAAGTTTATTCCATCCACTGACTTTTCTAGGATCCAGTTTCCAGGCCGAGGAGAGTTGGCAGCCTTCACTATTATGTAAGCCACATGATACACCTGTAAATAAAAATGCATTTAGTAACTATCAATGTACATAGTTTTTAATATATATTTAATTCATTTTTTCATTTTTAAACAGACTATTTTTTAGAGTCGCACTCCTTTATATCAATGTCAGCTGATCATGTCTTTCTCCCATTCATGATTTTCACACTTCATTCCCCTAGCATTGCTTAAAAGCTCTAAACGGAATAAACTGTTGTATGATGCAGTTAGTTTTTGGGGTTTTTTTGGGGGGGGTGGGGGCTGAAAGTGCTATTGCTGATATAATTATGAGAGTTACCTCCCTTCCATTGAAAACCAAGTTATATTTGTGTACATAAATTAAGAAACAGTAGTGTCTCCAGTTCAAAAACCTAACATTCATTACAGTGACATAAGCAATCTTACCAGTATATATATATATATATATATCAAAAAATAGAAAAAAAAACAGCATAATATTTTATTAGCTTGTCCTAGATACCTCAATCACCCTTCAGAAATCAATCTTCTACTAGACCATGGCCAATTTGAAAGAACAGGTAGACATAAAGGTGCTGAATGTGATGACAGGTTATCTTGTAATATAGAGGACATGAAGCATTTAAGAACACAACATACAGACATGTATGTATGATCTACATGCGTAGGTGTCCCACATACATATCTTTTACACCAGATCAGCCTTAAACACTACAGCAGAAACCAATGTTAAGATATACCGCAGGTAAACAGATACAACCCTACATGTGGTATCCTTGTAAAGTAAGAACTAATAAAAATCTTAGAAAGATTTATTAATGTAGAAGACTTTTATTAACCCTGTGTATAAATATAGGCATCCTGTAAATCAGGTAGATAACTGATACACATTACATTATTTACAAGTGAGAAACACATAATAATTTTATTATATATAAAAAGCTTTCCACCCTATCACACACTCAGGAAGAATATAATGTTGTCTCTCACATGACATGATATTATTTTCTTTGCGATAAAGCTCATGACTATTTTGACCTTAGAGTCTGGTTATTATGCATTAGATTATCCTGCATGCGTGAAGTTAATCAGTAACTTTATCAGTAACAACAAAGACAGAAAAAGTGTTTCCCACTTTCCTCTCAGTCAGTTGATACGTAATACAATCATTGAAAAGTTATATGCTGTAAAATCAGTCATTTTTATTGGGATGCTGTTTTTGATATTTCACATTACATTTGTTTGATCGTGAAAACTCACTCCGAAATAATGAAACAGATGTGTATCAGATGTCCTTTTACATCCAGATAGTAAAATTTCAATTCACTGAAAATAGAATTTGATCATTTTACAAGAAAATAGTGAAAAAAAATTACGAGCTGTATAGTAGGTAATATTGACTTGATTTGACTATTTAATGTTGTTATAAGGTTAAGTGTTTACGCTGATCCTATTACATGTTTAATACAACTTATTGTAATGTCAATAAAAACCAGGATAAATAAAGGTTGATCTCCATTTATGAAATTCTGAAAAGTAAATTATAGGGCTACCTGTACTTAAAATATAATTTAGGATGATCTGTTGTTAAACACAGTGGCTAAGGGAAAAAAAGGATTGATGATTGTATTATACAACTGCATTTTTAATGAATGCAGCAACTCTGGTAGGATCATAACAAATGCCAGTGTACCACAAGTCACACAATACAAGGTATATAGACCCTCTGGTCCCTCAGATATGTCAGACAAACTGGCGTTTTCAAAGACAACTCCATAACATAGCTATCACAGGTAACATTATATCTATGATACAATCAGACATCAAAGGTGCTTCACACCTGAAATAATTACCTGTGTGCTTTACAACAGAAAAAAATGAAGCATTTGTGGAAGAAAACTCAATGCCATTGAAACTCGTAACGTGTGACTAACTGGGTTAGTTTCACTTTAATGTTTTTGTCCTCTTTCCATGCACAAGCAGGTTACTGGGAACATTGTCCCATGTAAGATCTTCTAACTGAGGCTGTGGTGTATAGGTTCAATATAGAGGTTGTATGTATGTATCACCTGTACAAAGACCACCTGATTATAAAGGACACATACTTCTGTTTGTTTAGGTAAGAAGTGTGAGTTCTACTATTTAAACAATGTAGGTAGATCCCTCCAAATGCTGATTGTCAAGCAGGTAAAGCCACAAAAACTACATGTAGACTACACTACGACTCGACTATGACTCATACCTACCATACCTAGAAAATCAAAATAATTTTGGAAAAAATGAATTAAAATGTATACAAGTCATTGCTTAAAGATGACTCATTATTTCTAGAGTGTTGGTTTAATTCAAGTAAGCAATATAAATCACTGCATTGTGTTGTACCTAGACAATTAAACACAACCCAGTGTGGTAATGACACAGGAATGTGTAGTGTTTTATACACAAATAGATGCAAGTCATCCACGTCTCCATGCTACAGTAGGACCTATTACACTTCTCATACCCAAAACAAATACAGTGTTGATATATAACAAGTATTAATCTCAAACAATCTTAGTATATGAACATACAAAGCTGATCTGGAGATGGTGCTAATCTATAAACTGCTAATTAAGAAATAGCACTAATACAGGATATTTGAAAAAAAGAATTTGGAAACTGTCCTAGCAAGGGACTGTGTAAATAACTGATATCAAGAGACTCTGCTAACATGGAAACTGTTATAAAAAGGGATGGACTGTGATAAGTTGGAAACTGTCCTGACAAGGAGAGGGATGTGCTAACCTAGAAACTGCCCTGACAAGGGGAGGGCTGTGCTAACCTAGAAACTGTCCTGACAAAGGGAGGGCTGTGCTAACCTAGAAGCTGTCCTGACAAGGGACGGACTGTGTAAACCTGAAAACTGTCTAGACGAGGGACGGACTGTGCTAACCTAGAAACTGTCCTGACAAGAGATGGACTGTGCTAACCTAGAAACTGTCCAGACAAAGGATGGACTGTGTTAACCTAGAAACTGTCCTGACAAGGGATGGACTGTGTAAACCTAGAAACTGTCCAGACAAGGGATGGACTGTGCTAACCTAGAAACTGTCCTGACAAGGGATGGACTGTGCTAACCTAGAAACTGTCCTGACAAGGGATGGACTGTGCTAACCTAGAAACTGTCCTGACAAGGGATGGACTGTGCTAACCTAGAAACTGTCCTGACAAGGGACGGACTGTGCTAACCTAGAAACTGTCCTGACAAGGGACGGACTGTGCTAACCTAGAAACTGTCCTGACAAGGGATGGACTGTGCTAACCTAGAAACTGTCCTGACAAGGGATGGACTGTGCTAACCTAGAAACTGTCCTGACAAGGGATGGACTGTGCTAACCTAGAAACTGTCCTGACAAGGGATGGACTGTGCTAACCTAGAAACTGTCCTAACAAGGGATGGACTGTGCTAACCTAGAAACTGTCCTGACAAGGGATGGACTGTGCTAACCTAGAAACTGTCCTGACAAGGGATGGACAGTAATAACCTGGAAACTGCCCAGAAAATTAAGGGACTGCGTTGATATGAAAACTGATCCAGGAACTATTCTTATCTAGGATCAGTAATGTAACAGATTACTAACACTAGGAGTTTACCAATATGGTAGTACACAATGCCTGGTAATAAGTCCATCCATAAGTGATATATTTTCACTTTAATCTTAAATTAGCATGAATCCTAGACTGAACTAGTATGAGGACAGTGCAAATTTTAGGACACCAGCAGGTGGTCGTGCTGAGAGCAATGAGCTGATGCTACACAGACAGTGATGTAAGTCCTGAGCAATTAACCTTAAGTCATTGGTTGACTGGAAAGTGAAGAGCCAAAAATATGGAGCCAAACAGACCTCTTGGTGTACTTAACTGTTTAATGGACAAAAATCCCAACTAATCACAAACTCCTATTCATGATTAGCTGGAGAACTTCTTAGATAGTAAAAAGGGATATGAAATCTTTACATGTAAGAAAATTAAGCCAGGAAAGGGAAGAAGTAGGCCTGATTAAATATTAGTTAGGATGGAGTTCAGATATAAAATACAGGAAGCAAGGATTGATGAATTTAATTTACAGTACTTTGACCTGTCTACTTGGGATTATCAAAGTATGTAAGGATATAATAAAGTACAAACACACTGAATACTACAGTGTCTGTGTGTCACTGTGGGCCTAAATATCTCAGATAGGCTGCACATCAAATGGTCACCTGATAGCAGTGCATGATACCTTTAGATGTTATCACATAAATAACCATTAGAGGTGAAGTGGCATCAATGAAAGACACAGAAAAAGAAAAGATGTTTAGTGTACTATCCATGTGATAACTTCATGCTGTCCTGGTATAAAATCATCCGTGGATATTTCCTGCTAAACTTATTCTTATCAAAGCCTTTGAATATATGCACAGAATTTAAGTGTGCTATTATTAATGACGGCTAGCTTCTAAACATTTACCTTATGCACACATTGATAGAGTGGGGGAGTTTTGTACTTCTGCTGCGAAATGAAAGTAAGCTATAGTCTGTTTCAAAATTCATCTACTATTGAAAAGTTTGATTTTTTTTATTTATCAGAGTATTACCAGTGTATCCCCTGTTAACTGATAATAGACTTTAGAGTTTTCTTCCATTGTGACAAAGATTTATGATTTACACAAGCCGGTTTGCTGTGGTCAATACAGGTTTGAAATGCATGCTGTGCATAACTAAAGACTTATAATATAATTTTTCCTGAATTGAGTCATACATCCATGCAAGACAGGCTGGCATCAAAAGAGATCCATCGATGAATTTACATATATTAGTAAATATATGCACTGTAACCAACTCTTATTACAACAAATTCTAGAAATTTAACCCATTATACCAGAGGGTCTCTTTTATTCCACAGAGTATTAAACTCCTCCAATCAACCACTTATCTTGTGGTCAGTGGTAGACCACATTCTCACCACAGGACCCCTGAATTGAGCCATTATCACCTTGACCACCAGGTCCTGG